GGAGCACATGTTCAGTTGTTTCGATGTAGCCAGACTCACACAGGCATAGTCTCTCCTGGGCAGGGGTCTTCCGGTACCTCCCCTCCAGTACTGCCGATGGAAGGGCCAAAGTGACCAAAGTGACAGCTCTTTGGTGTTTAGGCACCTCCAGGTTAGCTAAGTAAGGCATGGGAGCGATGAGATATCTGCTATCTTCGCTAATGGTGAATGCTGGAGAGCAGGCTAAGTCTGATTGTCACTCTGTATCCAGGATCCGTTGTCTAATAAGATCCTTGGCTTGGTCCCATCCCATACCTAGCAGTTGTCCTTGAGAGAAGCCTAGAGTTGCGATTTTGATTGCCACTGCCTTATTCCATGTAGACTGAAATTCATCTCTCAGAGTTAATGGGGCAAGGCCACATGTTGAGAAAGACAGATGCAGCCAATAATTGAGGGTGGCTGTCCACACTCTCGCCTCCACTCTCACAAGGCCTGTCTCTAATCGCAGGGTGGCGTTTGAGACACATCTGGGGACCTGCATCGCCGATCTTAGAAATTTTGATTGTACTTGCTCCAGAGGGGCATAGTTTGTGAAGGGACCAAGTTGGGAATCACTGGGTTGTTGTAGGTTTTTTGGGCTGTATGGTCATGTTCTAGAAGCATTCTCTACTGACATTTCACCTGCATCTATGGCAAGCATCCTCAGAGGTTGTGAGATCTCTTGGAAACTAGGAAAATTGGGTTTATATATCTGTGGAAAGTCCAGGGTGAGAGAAAGAACTTTTGTCTGTTAGAGCTAGGTGTGAATGTTTCAATTGGCCACCTTGATTAGCCTTTGATGGCCTGGCGGTTTTTAGGTGTAGCTTGTTACTGCCTGGGGGAATCCTTTGTTGATAGGTGATTAGCTGTTCCTGATTGTTTCTTGTCTGGAGTTCCCCTGTGTTTGAGTTTTGTTCTTTATTTATTGTTATAATTTTAGAGTTTTTAAATACTGGTAGGCAGATTTTGTTCATTTTCAGTCATAGCAGAGCACCTGATGAACCACTCTAACAACTACCATGTCAGAATACACAGAGAAGTCACTGAAATCCACAAGCATGTGGACAATTTCAACAGAAAAGAAAACAAGAAATACTCTAAAATTCTCATATGTTTATTAACTCTTATATTCAAGTATGTTGCTAGTTATCTGAGTATGTTCAGATAACTAGCAACATACTGGCTTTAAATTCAACTTGTCTTAAATGCCAAACACTGCCTAGAAAACTAATTAAATACTATAAATAGGGGTAATTTTAGAAATATTAAATAATAATATTTAGTAAATAATAACAGTTACACTGTTTTAAATGTAATATTTTAAAGGGCCAATATGAATCAACATATCAATAAGTGTCCAATCACATATATATATATATATATATATATATATATATATATATATATATATANGGGGTTGGACTGGATGGCCCATGAGGTCTCTTCCAACTCTTTGATTCTATGATTCTATGATTCTATTATTTGGTCCCATTAGTTCTATTGTCTCGATGATTGTCTTGATGCATCCCCGATCATGCTGGTATAGTGACTCTGTACTAGTGTCCATTGTTTCTCACAGCAAGATATTGTTTAAGATGCTGGGATTTGATGATCCATCCTTGGGAAAAGGGGAAATGTCATTGTGGAAAACCAGGCAGTACCTCCTGGTGTACCAGAGAAGTGCCAGGTGATTAATGTCATTTTGTGTCCAGATGACTGCACAAAGGAAGGCTAGCCCAGCTTATGGAACCTGTTGTCCTCTGCATAGATGGATTTATTCCAGAGATTATGGGTGCTTAGGTTCATTGTTTATGTGATGCCCAGGAAAAACACTGGAGGGAATTCCCAGGGTGAAGAGGTGCTGGTGAAAAGTTACCAGAATCTTGCTTCAGTGGCTTCATGGCACCAAAATTTTTATATGAAACAAAAACATCACATTATACACACACACAGGAACTGGGGTACCAGCAGGGGTGAGGGGTGACTTGGGAATGTTGGAAGTAAAGGGAAGCTAGGTTTTGAGGCAAAAGAAGGAAAAGAGCCCCACTTTGAGGGTTGTGGGGGCTATGGAGTCAAACAATTACCGGGGCCAGCTGCAAGAGGCAGAAGAAGAGAGAAAAATACACAGTAGGCAAAGAGGATACAAAGAATCAAAATATAGGATAACACACCGCAGTGCACATTTATTGAAGGGGTTATTTTGTAATAAAGAGAGAAAATAGAATGTATCCAGGGTGCTTGGTAGCTGCTGCTCGGCTCCTCCACTTCTCCGATTGTCTGTATAATTGATCCCAGTGAGCCTCCGGGCTCCTGCTCTCCACAGCTTTCCCTTCTACAGTTCCAGTTACAATTCATTGATATTTTGATGGGGCGGAGGGCATGTTCGACATCACCTTCACCTTCCTACATTCCTCTCTCCCTCTTTCCTTCCTCTGGAAGTAAGGAGGCTGCCTCTGCTCTCAGGAAAAGAATGAGGAGGAGGAGGAGGGCTTTACGATCCAGGCCGGACTTTGCAAGGGTCTCCCAACTGCCAGGTCCAGGCATGTCTTGGTCTCCTCCTCAGTGGTGGGCAGCAGTGCTATGATGCGACAGATGTTGAGGGCCTCATCCCGGAACCCCAGGACTGGACTGGACTGGACTGGCCTGCCTGTCTGTCTGCCTGCCTGCCTGCCTGCCTGCCTGCCTGCCTGCCTGCCTGCCTGCCTGCCTGCCTTCCTTCCTTCCTTCCTTCCTTCCTTCCTTCCTTCCTTCCTCCCTCCCTCCCTCCCTCCCTCCCTCCCTCCCTCCCTTCCTTCCTTCCTTCCTTCCTTCCTTCCTTCCTTCCTTCCTTCTTTCCTCTAGTCTGGAAGGAGGGAAGAAGGAAGAAAGAGAGGGGTGAAGATATATATTAATATTATTTTTGTTATTATTATTATTTTACTGGCACAAAAACACAGGACGTCACAGCAAACGAGATATATATGCTGGATTTCGTATCACAAAATCACAAGTTGAATACTTCCCAAGTGCCTAGGACTGTGTGATATATTATTATTATTATTATTATTATTATTATTATTATTATTATTATTATGGCTGGATGATCATCTGTTGGGGTGCTTTGATTGTGCCTTTCCTGCATGGCAGAATGGGGTTGGACTCGATGGCCCCTGGGGTTGCTATTATTACTACTACTACTACTACTACTACAACGGTTGGATGACCATCTGAACATTAGGAAGAACTTCCTGACTGTGAGAGCCGTTCCGCAGTGGAACTCTCTGCCCCGGAGTGTGGTGGAGGCTCCTTCTTTGGAAGCTTTTAAGCAGAGGCTGGATGGCCATCTGTCAGGGGTGATTTGAATGCAATATTCCTGCTTCTTGGCAGGGGGTTGGACTGGATGGCCCATGAGGTCTCTTCCAACTCTTTGATTCTATGATTCTATGATTCTATGATCTGTCAGGGGTGCTTTGATTGTGCTTTTCCTGCATGGTAGAAGGGGAGTTGGGCTGCATGGCTCCTGGGGTCTTCCAAAATTAAATTTATGTTGGTTAAAATTGCTCTTCATTTCAAGTATTGTATTGTTCTTTCTCTTTTTTTTTTTTTGCACTACGAATGAGATATGTTTAGTGGGCATAGGAATTCGTTCATGTTTTTTCAATTAGTTCACACATCCATTCCATCTATCAAATTTTAAAGCGCAATACATCACCTGTGTTCAAAAGTTTGCCCATGTCTGGTAAATATATGTTATATATGTAATATACTATACTATACTATACTATACTATACTATACTATACTATACTATACTATACAAACATTTCTTGGTGCTCCACAAGAAACTTTTGTTTCAAAAAAGGCTCCGCTGTGGAAAAAGTTTGAGAATCCCTGGTTTAGAGCCTTGACCTGTAAATAAATTTTGGGTCAATTTTTGTCATATTTGACTGTATATGGCATGTATCTTCTCTTCAAAGAATAAAGAAATTGTCAGTCTTCCCCAAGGAAACATCATTAGAGCCTCGCTAAGAGAAAGAAAAGAAAACAAATTATTGAAAATGTTTCTATATTGCTTTTTTGAAACAAAATCTCCTTAGGGAAGCTCACACAATGAGAAAATAGAATATAAAATCCAACTAGTTGAAGCAACCTGAATGAAGAAAAAGAGATGAAATTAAAAGCATATAATATCAAACTACAGAATTCCCAAGCTGGGGGGGGGGGGGGGGCTTCATGAAGTAGAAGGTTGTGAAATAAGAAGTGTTATCCCATAATCTTATATTCTTGTTGAGTGAAGCATTTTTATTGTTCCTTCCAGTCCCTCCAGCTATGAAGCCTCATCCTGAGGAATATGTGGTTGTTATGGATAAGCCTGCTACTCTGTTGTGTGAAGCAGCAGGTTACCCTGTACCTGAAATTTCATGGCATAAAGATGGACAGCAAGTCACAGAGTCAATAAGGCAGCGAATCCTCAGCACAGGGTCTTTCCATATCACATTTGCTCAGCCTAGTGACAGTGGTCGTTATACATGCACTGCTACCAATGCAGCTGGATCGAGCAGCTACAGTATGGAACTCATTGTCCTTGGTAAGTTAAAGTAGAATTGAGAAACACAAACTGACATGTTCAACATAGTGGAAACTAGAATGATGTCCAAATTTGGGTTATAAATAGAAGTGTCTTCTATTATTTTAGCGGTTTTTTATGAGCTCAACTCATGTAATATAAATTATGTAGTAATAGACATTCATTATTCTGTAGATTTTTTTCTTCTGACATTGCAGCATGATGATTTAGTCACCTTAAAGAGGCCAGGAGTCCCCGGTGGTGTAGTGGGTTAAACCCTTGTGCTGATAGGACAGGTCGCAGATTCGAATCCAGGGGGAGTGCAGATGAGTTCCCTCTATCAGCTCCAGCTCCTCATGCGGGAGAGAAGCCTCCCACAAGGATGGTAAAACATTAAAAAATCTGGGCGTCCCCTGAGCAATGTCCTTGCAGACAGCCAATTCTCTCATACCTGAAGTGACTTGCAGTTTCTCAAGTCGCTCCTGACATGACCCAAAAATCTTAAAGAGGCAATGAGAACTGAGAAATGCATGGGTTGCAATGCCTGAAATTTATATATTGATCAACTAAAAACAACTTTTAAGGTTATTTTACTGAGAGACTGGCTGGCAATCATAGTTTAACCACTTCATCAGATTGCTCCCCCCCCCCCCCGCCCTAGTATGTTGCTGGCATGTTGCCAGGATAGAATCTGCTGGAGTCCATTATAAGATGCAGGGCTGCTTCCAGCAGGGCTCTGTTGGGCTCCATCCTGGCAGTGTGCCAACATCGTTCTAAGACGGAGCCCTGAGGAGGTGAGTAGCTGTCCGTCTCCTCACTGAAGAAACCAGAAACAGCACAGGAGGAAGCCGGGGACAGCAGGGAATCATGGGATGGCAGCTGGTGACCAACCATGGTAAGGGGATGAAGCTCCATGTGATGAAGTCCCTTGTTCACAGATCATCTAGTTTATACTAAGTGTCCTCTTACAGTTATGGCAGCTTCTCTCATAGTAAAGGTAAAGATTTTCCCTTGACATTAAGTGGACTTAAGTCCAACTCTGGGGAGTGGTGCTCATCTCCATTTCTAAGCCGAAGAGTTAGCGTTGTCTGTAGACATGTCCTAGGTCATGTGGCTGGCGTGACTGCATGAAGCGTCATTATATTCCTGAAGTGGTACCAATTGATCTACTCACATCTGTAGGTTTTCAAACTGCTAGATTGGCAGAAGCTGGTACTAGCAATGGGAGTTCACCCTGTCCCACAGATTCGAACCGCAAGTTCTACATTTTAGCAGTTTAACCCACTGCGCCACCATAGCCCCATGTGAGCTTCTCTCATATGTTGGTAGAATTATACCATCTCATTTCTGTTCTGGGTGTCCAAAATAAACAGGTCAAGCTTTCTCAGTTACCTATTGCATAAATATGGTATTTAATGACTTTCCATTGGCATACATTTTATTATTGGTGGGAACATACATATGAAGTTTGCCATCCAACTTTGAAGAAGCCAAAGAGCATATATAAATAATTGTGTTCTTTAAAAACAGTTTATTTTAAATATTTAAATATATTTTTAAATATTTTCAAAAACATGCAGTCCCACCTAAAATACGCAGCATGCAGGATCACTACACAGTTGTTGAAAATTCACAAATACAACTATCATGTGTTGCTGATGGAATTCCAACACCATCCATGAACTGGAAGAAAAATGGCATTCTCTTAACTAGCACGAGAAGACATGTATTAGGACCATATGGAGATCTCAATGTGGACGATGTGGTGGTAAGTATCACTCAAAACAACCTGTTTGAGATGGATTGGAGAAACTGGCCTTTTTTCCTTTTAGCCATGCAAAGAAGTTCCACTTTAAATGCCAATGTAAATAAATCTGAAAGTGTCTGATTGGAAAATGCATTTTGCAAAACATGTTCTACATACCCACATAAGTAAAGGTAAAAATTTCTACTTGATATTAAGTCTAGTCGTGTTCTCTGGAGGGTGTTGCTCATCTCCATTTCTAAGCCAAATAGTTGGCATTGTCTGTAGACACCTCCAAGGTCATGTGGCTGGCATGACTGCACAGAGCGCCATTGCCTTACCACTGAAGTGGTACCAATTGATCCACTCACATTTCCATCTTTTTGAACTGCTAGGTTGGCAGAAGCTGGGGCTAACTGCAGGAGCTCACCCCACTCCCCGGATTCGAACTGCAAACTTTTCTGTCAGCAAGTTTAGCAGCTCAGCGGTTTAACCCACTGCGCCACCAGGGGCTCCATATACCCACATGCTATATATAAAACAGAGATGGGCAACCTCTGAAAGTCTGGAGGCCTTGGCAAGCTATGTCCTGATTCCCTATCCCCCTCCCTCCTGTTTAATCCAGGAAATAATAATGTGCCCCTTATAAGGAAATACTTCACAATCAGGACCACACTGCTGTGGCACCAATTATAAGGATGTCTTTCACACTAAGAGACTTTCTTTTAGCAGGGAGAAGGAACAGGGAATTCTGAAATAGTGAATCCCATAAGCTACCAACCTTTATAAGGAATATCACAGAAGGGAAATTGATAAAACAGGGAAAGATATATTTGAATGATGTCTGAACTGAGAGGCTTTTTAAAAGGCTTTTTCAATTGGGTACGCTGCCACCTTATTGCTTAGTATTCAGGCTGAGTTATATGTGTGGAGAGGACACTTAGTAACGCCCTTCTGTGTTATTATAGTGCTTATTTTCTTCAGAGGGTTTAAATACCAATGACATTTACACACAGGCTATTGTAATGGGTTAACTATAATAAAACATTTATTTAACAGGCTTAAACTCATTTGGTACAAATGCGTAATGGTTTCTGTAAGTTAATGGCGCAAAAGCTTTTGGTTACGTTTGATGAACAATTCTTAGATGGGTACTGGGTTCATATCTAGAGTTAACAAACAGGAGATTATCTCTGGAAACTAATCCCTGATGATAATTCCAAACCAAATTCCCACTTTCTGTAATCTAGCCAAACAATCTTGGCCTAGCCTTCCTCAGGAATAAAAGAAACAGACTATAAGCAAGGTCCTGTTTCCATTGTCAGTATTCCTGGCTAATTCCTCTAGCCCTTGAATACTACAAAAGATTAACCCAGTTCTCCTATCTAGCACTATCCAACTGTGAACACCAACCGACTACCTAACTCCCAACTGACAAATCCCAACTGCCAAAACTCAAGCCTCAAATTCAAAAAGTACACTTTTTCCTCTATTCGAATGTTAGGCTCCACCCCCTATTCCTAACTAATCCTGGCCATCTACTCTTTGCTTACTGGACTAGGGCATGCCCCCTCTAAGAAAACCTGATCTAAGATGGCATTTCCCTGTTTCCCTAATCTAAAATGGCCACCAGGGCTTCGCTAGGCCCACCTTCTAACTGTCTAGGCCACCAGGCTTCGCTAGGCCCACATTCTGACTGCTAAAGGTGAGGGTTCTTCACACCCCTCCAGTAGTAAGTCTGTTCCACCACCACCACACCAGCCTCCCTGGGTAAAAAAAATTTTGTTAGAAAAAAGAAGTGTCCAAGCAATAAGTTCTTTTTTTTTAACAAAGTCCTGAAACAGGCAGGGCAGAATTATATTTAAATATCAAATTACCATCCTCAAAGGTGCCTAGGGAGTCGCCTTGCATAGTTTTCAGTGGATTCTGTGCGTACTTGGCTGTATCTGTAACCTAGAATCACATTTCACCTTCCCTGACATACAGAACAGGTGTATGATGCCAATTTTTTAGCCTGTTTAAGTCAGCTGGTGATCCCAAGGCACAAAGCCAACTAAACCTACTAGAGAGGCAGGGATGGGTATGTACAGTAAACATATGCAAATTCTAGGATTCATTCAGACTCAGCTTTCAGGCTGGAAGACATGTGGTGAATCTAAACAGAAAGATGCATTGTCAGGGTTTCTTGGGGAGATAGATTCCTTGGTACAAATAGCTACAGAAAGTCCATAGGCATGAAACCATGTTGTTTTAAGTGCCAGTACGTTCTTTTGTTTCATTATGATCCACATTCTACAGCATAAACAAAAGGCAATAGATATAATATCAGACTTTTAAATGTTTAGAATTTTAAAGGTTTTGCCAAAACAGGCTGACAACACTGGAGAGGGCCATAGGTAAGTCCAGATAGAAAAAGGAGCCATGCTCATCTTTCTGGGTTAGTCTTTTGTTTTCCCACTGCTTCCTCTATCTCTCCTTTGTGTATCTCTTTTTTTTTACATATGATTCCTATGCCTGCCCTATACTGTGGAAAACTGGCTTTAGAAGTAGAGACTTTAAAGTTGTTTTTAAAGTTGACAGATTAGTTATTACCAATTTTACCTACTTGCAAGGATCATCATCATCATCATAATCATCATCATTTAATAACTTATTAATCGCCCTCCATCCGAGAATGCTCTAGGCGATTTACAGCTAAATTATAAAAGATAAAATACATGCATACAAAAATTAAAAATTAACAGAGATCGAATGCTTCCATCAGCATTGAAACATATTTTAAATACATGACTATTATAAACAATATAAGCACATAGAAGTGTCCTCCATGTGTTCAATGCAGCTTATTCTCAAGTAAATGTGCATAGGATAGATTGGGCTCAAGCAATACAATATTTTGTATTGTTTAGTACTTGACCATTTATTTCCCTTCTGATCAATAATTCCTGAGGAGGCTGAACTATGTAGGAGTCTTGGCAGTCCAATTTTGCTCAATCAATGTCAATTTGGGGGGGGGGGATTCGCCAGCCTAGTCTTGGAGGGCTCAAGTCCTCTTTGCCATCCCTGTTCCAATATCATGCCTGTGCTGTAAAATATGGCAAATATAATTAAAATATAATATTAATAACAGAGGTGTGCAAGTGAGTGACAGTGTCTTCTCTGTGTATTTCCCTACCTTCCCCTCCAACCTTAAGATTTAGACTCATAATGAGTTGGAATGAATCTCAAAGGTTGCTTAGACCAGGGCTTCTTAAATTGTGGATCCTGAAACTAAACAAATATGGAATCCAGATAAGAGGATCACCTAACTCAGAGGTGAGTAACTCATAACCCAGATAATGCTGGACTATAGTTTCCATCATTCAAGCCAGCATTGTGATTCGTCACCATTATCAATGGTGACTGATGGAAGCTATAGGCCAACATTATCTGGGTTCCTTGACTGATGGAAGCTATAGGCCAACATTATCTGGGTTATGAGTTACTCACCTCTGAGTTAGGTGATCCTCTTATCTGGATTCCATATTCGTGATTTTGATATATTAAGACTGTTACCTATTTTATTTGATTTTAAAAATATTCTAAAGTTGGTTTGAAGGTGATAAAAAAGATTTGTTGTGTTGTGTATTTCCATAGCCAACAGTCTAAAGCTCTACGAGTATCAGTGGAAAATGTATTTCTAATATTTTTACATTAGTGAAAAAAATTGCTTATTGCTGGAAACAAAATCACATTACAATTAAATCATATTAGAATATTGCTCCTGCTGATTCCCAGCAACAAGCTGTGCTAAATAATTTCTTCACCTGAACCTAAAATATTTAATGTGCAACAGGAGAGACTTGCAGTTTCTCAGGTTGCTCCTGACACGACAAAAAAAACCCCACATAATTGAGAAGACAATTATGCTGAAGAAAATGGAAGGAAAAAGGAAGAGGGGCCAACCAAGGGCAAGATGGATGGATGGGATCCTTGAAGTGACTAGATAGACCTTGAAGGAGCTGGGGGTGGTGACGGCCGATAGGGAGCTCTGGTGTGGGCTGGCCCATGAGGTCACGAAGAGTTGGAAATGACTGAACAACAAACAACACATAATTAAATGACTTTTGGAATGCTGCTTTAGTACAAACGGCTGTTACATATATGTCAGGACCCAGTTTCCAGGGCCTTGGTTTTGGCGCCAGGAATCAGGGTTCTGACGTAGGACACTGATAAGACACCTGCAGCTGCTGACCCTGAAAGAAAATGGCCAGCGGTTTGGCAGGTGAATTACACGGGGTTTTGTGCTTGGTGGGAAGGACATTTTTGAGTAAGGGGGATGGTATATAGGGAGGTGCTGGCTGGCGCCAGGCAATCTCGACTTTTCGCATGTCTATGTTTCCTGCAGTAAAGTTTCTCTTTGATACCAGAGCATGGTCCTGTGTTTTCATTGGGAGCAGCCGCTGTGAGCTAACACATATATGTATTCTACATATTGTGTTTTGTTAGATTTTTATGTTACTTTGATTTCCATCCTGTCTACAGCCTGAAGATACTGGCAGCTACACTTGTATTGCCAGCAATGTTGCTGGTGAGGACACTTACACAGTCAACTTAACAGTTCATGTACTTCCAACTTTCACTGAACTCCCTGGCGATGTGGCTTTAAAAAGGGGGGAACGTCTTCAATTGATGTGTAGAGCAACTGGAGTTCCTATACCTCAAATCACATGGACTTTTAATAATAATATTATACCAGGTAGGTTCATACAGAAGGATATAATTTTATAGTTCATATGAGATTGAATATAGAAAATGTGCATAATTTTTGAATAATTAAATTATTGTCATGGAATTATTACCTAAATCTTGTTGTGGTGGTGATAGGATTCTTTAAAGACATTTCTGACTTATGGCAACCCTAAAACCAGGGTTTTATTCACAAAATTTGTTCAGAACAGGTTTGTCATTGCTTTCACCCCACGCCCTGCATTGCCCGACTCACCTAATTCACCATCTCACAGGGAGAAACGTTGACTGTCTGGCTTCCCTCCATTGTTTCTGGTAGAACACAGGAACCCTTCGGTGTTGCTGGCACAGTGGCATGCTCCACTTCACTTCCCTTTTAAATACCAAGCCCCAATGGAAATAGTTGTGCATTCTGTAATGGGAGCCAGAAGGTGTTGTGCTTAAAGGGAAAGTGAAGTGGAGCATGCTGCCAAATTTATCCCTGTCTGATGAGGTCACAAGACAGTGTGATTTGCCCAAGGTCATCCAATGAGTTTCCATATCCAAGCAGCTATTCAAACCTGGTTTCCTAGTGTCCTAGCTCAACACTCAAACCACTATACCATGTTGGTTGCCATTTCTCAATAAAATTCAGTACCCTGGCATTCAGCATAGAATCATAGAATCATAGAATCAAAGAGTTGGAAGAGACCTCATGGGCCATCCAGTCCAACCCCCTGCCAAGAAGCAGGAATATTGCATTCAAATCACCCCTGACAGATGGCCATCCAGCCTCTGTTTAAAAGCTTCCAAAGAAGGAGCCTCCACCACACTCCAGGCAGAGAGTTCCACTGCTGAACAGCTCTCACAGTCAGGAAGTTCTTCCTAATGTTTAGATGGAATCTCCTTTCTTGTAGTTTGAAGCCATTGTTCGCGTCCTAGTCTCCAGGGAAGCAGAAAACAAGCTTGCTCCCTCCTCCCTGTGGCTTCCTCTCACATATTTATACATGGCTATCATATCTCCTCTCAGCCTTCTCTTCTTCAGGCTAAACATGCCCAGTTCCCTAAGCCGCTCCTCATAGGGCTTGTTCTCCAGACCCTTGATCATTTTAGTCGCCCTCCTCTGGACACATTCCAGCTTGTCAATATCTCTTTGAATTGTGGTGCCCAGAATTGGACACAATATTCCAGATGTGGTCTAACCAAAGCAGAATAGAGGGGTAGCATTACTTCCTTAGATCTAGACACTATGCTCCTATTGATGCAGGCCAAAATCCCATTGGCTTTTTTTGCCGCCACATCACATTCTTGGCTCATGTTTAACTTGTCCACGAGGACTCCAAGATCTTTTTCACACGTACTGCTCTCGAGCCAGGCGTCCCCTATTCTGTATCTTTGTATTTTGTTTTTTTCTGCCTAAGTGAAGTATCTTGTATTTGTCCCTGTTGAACTCAATTTTTTTGTTAGTTTTGGCCCATTTCTCTAATCTGTTAAGATCGTTTTGAATCCTGCTCCTGTCCTCTGGAGTTATTGGCTATCCCTCCCAATTTGGTGTCATCTGCAAACTTGATGATCATGCCTTCTAACCCTTCATCTAAGTCATTAATAAAGATGTTGAACAGGACCAGGCCCAGGACGGAACCCTGCGGCACTCCACTCGCCACTTCTTTCCAGGATGAAGAGGAAGCATTGGTGAGCACCCTCTGGGTTCGTCCATTTAACCAATTACAGATCCACCTCACCGTAGTTTTGCCTAGCCCACATTGGACTAGTTTCCTTGCCAGAAGGTCATGGGGCACCTTGTCGAAGGCCTTACTGAAATCCAGGTACGCTACATCCACGGCATTCCCCGCATCTACCCAGCTTGTAGCTCTATCAAAGAAAGAGATCAGATTAGTCTGGCATGACTTGTTTTTGATAAATCATGTTGACTATTAGCGATGACTGCATTTGTTTCTAAGTGTTTGCAGACCGCTTCCTTAACAATCTTTTCCAGAATCTTGCCCGGTATCGACGTGAGGCTGACCGCGGTAGTTGTTTGGGTCATCCTTTTTTCCCTTCTTGAAGATTGGGACCACATTGGCCCTCCTCCAGGTCTGTTTTAATGAAGTTAGGCCAGTATGTTCACATAGGTACACAACTCTGCATCTTCCAAAATTTTGGATAAGGAGTCTTAGATAAAAATGATTTTTCCCTTCAGCATGGTTCTATTTTAGTTTTAACCTTTCTACATCTATTCCTGGAGTCCCCAAACTAAGGCTCCAAGGTAATTTACCCCCCTCACCCTCGTCTTAAAAAGTTTGAGGACTCTTCTCTATACAAATCCTCCAAGGTCATTTACTCCCCCCCCCCATCTTAAAAAGTTTGAGGACCATTCTCTATACAAATTTTCCAAGATAATTAATGCTCCTTCCAACCCTCATCTTTAAAAGTTTGAGGACACTTGTCTATACAAATTCTCCAAGGTAATTTACACCCCCCCCCCCAGCCACCACCCTCATCTTCAAAAGTTTGAGTACTCTTCTCTATATAAATCCTCCAAGGTCATTTACCACCACCACCACCCTCCTCTTAAAAAGTTTGAGGACTTTTCTCTGTATAAATTCTCATTACAACAACATCTGCAGCATTATGTAGTCATGTAACTGCATCTCAGTCAGGATCTTGTAAATATGGGGGAAAGGCAGTAAATATTAAGGCAACCAAGCTGATCAAGGGACTGAGGCAATTTTCCTGTGAGGAAAGGTTGTGTTGATTAGGGTAAAAACAGAATAAGGGGGGAGGGGGAAAGGAATGCCACCAGACTTTTAAGACTCACTGGTTTTTATTTTCACATGAGCCTTTGTGGATATAAATTCATTTCTTTAGATGCAGTACAGAATGACATTTTTAATTTATGTTTATTTATTTACTTTGTTTCTTTAGATCATTTTTTAAAAAATTATTTATAGATTTACCAATCAGAATGTATGAGTATATATCCTTTCTCCTTTTTACAGTAACTTAGACAAAGGAGTATTCCATATTGTATACAATCCAACAGTAAAAAAGGGAATCAAACACAACTTTGAGAATACTTATCCATTTTTAACTTTCCCCCATTATAACTTATACTACATATACCTCTACTACACATCCTTTATCTATTTATACATGTTTTATTTCATTATTATTATTATTATTATTATTATTATTATTATTATTATATTATACAATTCTCCCCTCCCCCCATCCTTATTTTGTGCCACATTTACTTGGTCCAACCAACTCACCTTGGGTTTTTGTAAGTTTTTTCCCCTGACGTTTCACCTGCATCTATAGCAGGCATCCTCAGAGGTTGTGAGGTCAGGAGAGAATGCTTCTGGAACATGGCCATACAGCCAGAAAAAACTTACAAAATCCAGTGATTCCAGCCATAAAAGCCTTTGACAATGCAACTCATCTTGTTTCACAAGTCCAAAACATCATTGCTTCTGTTGCCAGTTTGTTTCCCTCATGAAAGATATACTCAATAAATTTTCTCCATATTTCATTATTTATTTATTTAGAACTTTTCTATCCCGGTCTTCTCAACCTCCGCAGAGGGACTCAGGCCGGTTAACAACAGAAAATGCATACACAAATAAACTAATAACATCATAACATCTTAATACGTTAAAATACAAACAGAATAAATACATAAAGCCAAATTGTCAAGATAAAATCACATTCATCACAGTCTGCCAGTGTGGTCAGTAGTTATTAGGTTATTGTTGACTTGCCAATCATTCTGAGAATGCTCTGTCTCAGAGCCAGGATTTCACTAGCTTTCTGAAAATCAGGAGGGAAGGGGCAGATCTAATCTCCATCGGGAGAGAGTTCCACAGCCAAGAGGCCACCACCGAGAAGGCCCTGTCTCTCGTCCCCACCAGACGCGATTGCGAAGGTGGTGGGACCGAGAGCAGGGCCCCTCCAGAAGATCTTAACAACCTTGATGGTTCGTAGGGGAGAATCTGTTTGGAAGTCCATTTGTAGGGGAGAATCTTTTCCAGAAGTCCATTTGTTTCAATATTCCCTTTTTAATTTTAATATTGCAAGTTAACTTGTCATTAATAGCTATGGCTCTGGGACAGCCTGGCTCTGGGACAGAGCATTCTCAGAATGATTGGCAAATTTCTCTATACCATTCTTCTAATTGATTTTTCTTCCTTTCTTTCCATTTTTTTCTATTTGGCTGCTGTTATCAAATCAGAAACCATTTTTTTCCTCTCTTGTGAGGGAATTGTATTGGCATGCATAAGTAATAATGCTAATTTTGGTGTATTCTCGATCTCTATTTTTATTATTGCTCTTATTCTTTAAATATCCTTTCCCAAAACGTTTGTATAATTTTACATGACCACCACACATGAAGATATGACCCTATTTCCTGACAGCGTCTCCAACACTGATTTGAATATTTTTTATCTATCTGATTTAATCTAAAGAGTGTTAAGTACCACTTCCATACTGTTTTATAATAGTTTTCCTTAATTCATACAGACATATTATGTAGTAATCTCATACTTCATATCTTTACCCATTCTCCCCCCCCCAAATCTACTTTCCATGCTTCCTTCAAATGAACTTGTTGCTGTTTGTCCATTAATAATAGTTTATAGATATTGCTTACCATGCCTTTTAATGTTATATTCTCTTCTTTAACCTCCGTTTGGGCTATCATCTTCACCAGTTTTGTTTCTTCACCAGTTTTTGTATATTCCCTATCCCAATTATACTTTTTCATTATATCACTTGACCATTTCCCCAGCTGTAAATACTTGTGCCACTCTAAGTCTCTTCTTTGTAGCACTCTAAATCTCTTCTTTATCCTTTCCATATTTACCATCTTCAGGTCTTTTACTTTCATTATACCTCTTCCATTAAATTCTATTTTGAGTTCTTAAAAAAAAATGCTGTGAAGCTTTCTGTCATTAGAACTGGCATGATTGGAGACATACCTAGCATTTGTTTTTTTATATCTCCCCCAAATCTCCAAAATATTTTAAGGGGCTATTTAAATTATTATACCAATTCTTTTTACCCTTTCTTCTATTATTCCTATAATTTACTTTATTTATTTTATTTCTATCCCCCAATATTGAGACTCACGTATCTGGCCATAATAAATGGCCTGATATAAAGCACATTTTGGGGTTGGTTTTTTTTGTTTGTTTTTTCATAGTAATAGATCCTGTGGTCATTCACTGATGCTAAGTGGTGGGAGATTAAGTACAGACAATGCATGGTTAAACTCTGTGGGAGTAACTACCACAGGAGATAGTAGTTACAGCTATAGGTTGACACCAAGCTTTAAAGGTGGCTTGGATAAATTCATGGAGCATGAAGACATTGATGGCTCCTTATCAGGTAACCTCTGGGTGTGTGGCTTTGTGAATCAGTGCATTATTTCCCATATTAGTGCAGAAAAAGTAGAGTCATTTATGTATGGTGTTATAGCCATTCTTAAAAGTATTGCCTGAAATATTAAAAGGGAAAGTTTGCTTTGACTTACTCATTAGACAATGAAAAAGCAAACATTAAAAGCAGCAAAATATGCACACACTATTTGTGCATCATTTAATTTGGGGGTTTAAGATTAAGACACTCTTAAATCATACAGTATCACTGTTCAATCATGGGCTGCAAATATTCTTAAAATGAGTGAATGCTACTAAAGCGCCTTGGTCTTATTTAGGCAAATCTTTATTGCAAAAGGGTTCAGTAACTACAAAGCAACTTGCATAGTAGTACTCAACAGCAGAGAAACCTTTTTTTCTGAAGCTTCAACCAAGCTTTCTTGACCTGCTTTTCTTTTTCTTCTCTTGCTCAACCAGCACAATATGATGGTGTGGATGGAGCTAGTGAACTTGTCATTAAAAGAGTCTCTAAAGAGGACTCTGGTACCTATGTATGTACAGCAGAAAATCTGGTTGGGTCTATAAAGGCTCTTGGCTCTGTATATGTTAAAGGTATGTATTACAAAATAAGTTCTGGAATTATTCCATTGGTTCTCTAGTTTCAAATTTTATATAAAAGACCAATCAGTAATGGTAAGAGAGAGCAGTGGAAATGGAATAAAAAGTGCTTGACTCTAATCAACATTTGGACCTGAATTTGGGCTGGAATAAAATTTCACATTTTCACTTAAATTTGGGTTAATGCTCTATAGTTATAAAAGGGTCAAATTTAAAGATAGCTGGCTGGCCTACATATCTGTAACAACTGGTTAATTCCATCCCATATTTGCAAAAGTTCATGTTTTCAACATCTGCAAATACCTCTGAATTACTACAGCAGATGGCTTTCATTTTCATCTGACTTCTTACTATATAAAATATAATTAAACCTGTTTTCCTCCAGAGCCTCCAGTCTTCATTGGAGATTATCATCCCAGTCGCATTGAGCCCCTTGGTGGTAATGCTGTTCTCAACTGTGAATTTGGAGGAAACCCACTACCAACTATTCAATGGAGCAAAAAAGGAGTTGGTATTCAGCTCAGCAATCGGATCAGACAACTCAACAATGGATCCCTTGCCATCTATGGCACAGTAGTGAGTGATTACATAAATCCTGATTAGAATGATTAAATATAATTATACATGACTAGCTGTACCCACTATGCATTGCTGTGGTCAACTTTCCCTCTCTTTCTCTTCTTTCTTTCTCTCTTTCCTTCCCTCCCTCTTTTCTTCCTTCCTTACCTTTTTTCTTTCTTTCTTTCTCCTTCCTTCCTTCCTTCCTTCCTTCCTTCCTTCCTTCCTTCCTTCTCTTCTTCTTCCCTTCCCCCCCCCACCTTTTTCCTCTTCCTCTTTCTCCCCTTTCTTCCTTCTCTATCTATTCTTGGACTGCAACTCCCAGCAGTCCTCTTGATTGATCTATCTCTCTACCTACATATCTATATCTAATCTATTTATCTGGAGGATTGCTGTGGGTTGCAGTTCAGGAATAGGAAATTGGAAATATTCAGGAATTGGGATGCTTTCAAAGAAATCCAAGGAGAAGAAAGCTTACAGCTCAGAAGCAGTCCATTTGGATCATTCTCCTCTCCTAAAGGGCCTGGTCTAGGAGATGCTGGGAGCTGTAACCAGAGGAGAGTGTGGATATGCTATTGCATGTTTTGTTTGCCAGGGGAGTCATTTTTGCACATGCACTATAGCATCTTTTTGCTTTTTTGGCTTTTTAAGTCCCCTTTGCTGTGTTTTTCAGTGTTTTTATGAGTGATGGTCACTCATTGGCCTGATAGGTGTATTGTGTTCAAATTTGGTGTCAATTCATCCAGTGGTTTTTGAGTTATGTTAATCCCACAAACGAATGTTATATTTTTATTTATATAGATTTATCAGTCACATTTTTTCACATCTCCTTCCAGGAAGTTCAGATAACATTTTAAGGACTATCCCTTATGTCTTCCTACCAATCTAATATAAACTTTTTAGATACACCATTGTATGGGCGTCACATACCTTTTTATCATATTTATGTCCTTATATGATATATTATGCTATTATCTCCTGGAAAGGGAACTACTCTGCCTTTAAGAATTAAAAAATCAAACTTGACAATTTGTCCATCCAAGATTTGAAGTTGATTTCCTATGTATTTATTCATTGTAGTGTTGAGAAGGGGGTGCCACTTTCTTTCTTCAGAGATTCTATTTAACACCCATGTTGCAAATAGCTGTAGCTGGAAGGGATTTCATTGTATTTCATTTTTTTTTCAATAATCTTTATTGAAACTTTTCTTTGTGTTACAAAACGTGCAAGAGTTTAGAAAGGAAATGTGAACGGGATAGGGGAGGGGGGAGGGAGGAGAAGGGTAGAGGAGAAGGATGGCTAGGCAGGAGGAAAAAAGAGGGGAAAAGAGGAGGTGAGAGAGAGGGAGAGGAGAAAGAAAGGAAAGAAAAGAAAGAAAAAGAAAAGAAAAAGAAAAGAAAAAAAAGTAATAATAAAATGAGAGTTGGAGACAGATGGTAAATGTCTCTCTCGTTGACTTCCTTCATATCTTCCGAGTGGATATTCCTTTTCCTTCTTCTATCCTTATTTTCTTTATCGTTCTCTCTTCTACTTATTCTTCTGTACTATTACTTATATAGTCAGTATAGTTTATCACTTTTGTCCAATCAGTTTCTTCTATAGGGGTTCCTTTACTTTTGGTGATCAAATATGTTAATCTGTCCATATTTTTGATGTCCAATACCTTCTCAATCCAATCCTTTATTTCAGGGATTTCTTCTTTCTTCCATAGTTTTGCATAGCACATTCTTGCCGCCGTATTCATTAAGAAGAGAAGTTTGTCTATATTTCTTTCAATTTTTGTATCAAGTATTCCTAGCAGGAATATTTCTGGTTTAAATTGTAATTTCACATTTAGAATTTCCTGTATTGTCTTATAGATTTTTCTCCAGTATGTTCTTGCTTTTGGACACGACCACCACATGTGGAAATTGTATTTCATTTTTAAGGGAAAAAAACATTACTGAAGGCAGAAAAAACTTGGTTTCAACAATTTTAATGAAAAATAAAACTTAAAGAATATATTCCTATAGATTTTTTGTCCCCAGTCTAACCTCTCAAGTCACAGATATATTGTGACATCATATGCATTTTACAAGCTAAAATGACTATTAATACTTTTATTGAGGAATTGAAATGTTATTAGGAGATCTGAATTTATTTGTTGCATATATTGATTTTACAATAATATATTATATTATAAAGTACTGAACCTTTTCCAGTTTCTATGTAAGTACACACTCCCTTGCACCAAACTGTTTTGAAGCCACTATATTGCATTGCAAGTCGTCTAGTAGTTCTGTATTGGTTTTTTAAAATCTGAAAATATGTTTTTCTTCAGAATGAAGATGCTGCAGAATATACATGTGTAGCTACAAACGATGCTGGTGTGGTTGAACATCATGTCACTCTAATGTTACAGAGTAAGCTAACAATGACTATTCATACTGTTATTGAGGAATTGAAATGTTATTGGGAGATCAAAATTTATCTTTTGCATATATTGATAGAAGCAGCTTTTAAGACAAACCAAAGTGATTTATTTATCCCTCCAAATTTGCAGTTTCGACTCTTGCAAATGTAAGTATTCATGTATTTGATTAAAATCTTCTCTCTAAAAATCTAGTATGATTCTCTGGTCAACTTCCTCCAGTCGTACTGCGGGACCTAAAAATTTCCAGGAATTTCCTCAAATGCAATTCTGTTTATAGCTTCTAACGGAAGATGACCATAAAGTTATGCTGAAAAACCTGAAAAATTCTAATTAGGTGCTCTCTCATTTTCATTTTCACAGGGCTCTTATGCCCTCAAGACCATTTCTTCTCTCTATGTGATTAAAAAAACATGTTTTAGTCTCTCCACAAAGAGGGGTTTGGATAAGAACACACTTAGAATTTCTGTTGTCTATCTAGCAAAGCAAGTCTCAATCTAAGCTAATCCTTCCCTCCCAACTTCCCTCTCCTGGATGCTTATCCCTCTCTAACTTACCAGGGTCTTGGGGGAGTCCCTGGAAGGTTGGATTGGGTATTTTTGTGGAGAAAGGGGGCAAAGACGATCAAGACCAGGAGTGGATATGGGTTGAGGACCGCCGTATCTTTGCGGTTGGAAAGTGCTCCCCAAAAAGAGATACACCTGAGAGATCTGAGACTCTTAAATCAGTCTCCTTCGGTGTAGTGATCAGTAGAATTTGATCTATTGGCCTCAGAGGAGATTTACTGAAGATCTGGCTAAGAACATCATCCTGCCTGCCTGCCTGCCTGCCTGCCTTCCCATGTACTGCTGGCTCATATGGAAGCTTGGAGAGGCCCGATCGTCTTCTGTAGTTGCTGCTGCTGTTAGCCTCCATGGCTCCCTCTCCATTGCCACCCGAATCCCCTCCTACCTTCTATGTTCATCTCAGGGAGTTGGGAGCCATTACTGATATCTGTTCTGCCGTCTGGAGAACTAGCAAATTTTTGCTGCAGCAGCGGCATCATGCCAAGAGCCTGCTACTGATTGTGCTGCCTCTCTGTCCTGAGGCCTGCATCCTATGACTGTTAGTTGGGAATTAAGGTGTCCACTAATCGGTGTGCCAGCAATTACAACGCATTAGTGTCTTCAAGGTTGCTGCCATTCCAGCTGGTATTTCCAGCTACTGTCCACCCTATGCAGTGCGTTGTATCGCTGATCAAGGGGCATCAGAGTCATCAATTCTGGAGTTAATTGGCAGCTATAAAAAGGGGAACTACCATCACTGGAGCGGAATATAGACCACTGTAGCTCCAGCTAATGCCAGCTAGCTTCCACAGATCCTCTGGTAGTTCAGTTGGTCTAAGTTACATCAACCATACAGGATCTTATCCTTGAAGAACAAGCAGACCTTCTTTAGAACAGCATAACAGCTTCTCTCCAACCTGCTCCCCAGAGCAGAGCCTTTGAGCATAGACCTTCTCAGAGTAAAAGCTCTCCAGAACTGTATTCTAAAAATCCATACAATTATACCCCATCGAGTGTGGCCCAAGACTGCTGGTTGACCTACATTGCCAGCTGCACATAATAATTACCATCATAAGGTTTTTCTTCAACACACACACTTGGTCCTACTGCAACTTACTGTAACATGTATCACAGAAGATCAAACTTTGTAAAATCTAGATATATTTATAACACTATATCAAATAAAATTTCCAATTTACTTTTCAACACACTGGGAAGGGATTATTGGATCAATGGAAGTGATTCTCATTAGTGATTTATTGTGAAAATCAGCAATCTTGAAATATTCTCTTTATTTTAGGTGCGCCTATAATTGCTACTGAGCCAGTAGAGACTATTGTTGATGCTGGAACTACAGCAGTGCTGAACTGTCAAGCAGAAGGAGAACCCCCTCCAACCATCGAATGGTCCCGTCAAGGTTGGCCTCTCCGGGGCCAGAACCGAATATCTGTTTTGACAAATGGCTCCTTGCATATTGTCGCTGCACGCAAAGAGGATACTTCTGAGTATGAATGTGTAGCTAGGAATCTCATGGGCTCGGTTTTGGTCAAAGTACCATTCATTGTCCAAGGTGAGTGCTATCTTCTTCTTTTTTTCATTTTGCTGAGCAAGAAACTCTTTGCAATGCAAAAGTGTGCAGGCTCTCAAGTAAAGAAGTAATAAAGAGTAACACTGTCTATACATTCAATAACCAGTCATGTTTGTCTTGAAGCACACTCTATACCACGAGAGGCCTGGTTTTATATCAGGTTGCTGTTATATTAGATGGGAAATGTGATGACAACACTAAAGGTTCACATGAGACAAAATTCCTACCCATGGATGAGATTGTTTACTTCATTTTTGCATGACTTAATGTGTTGGCATTACCTTTAATGTGCTTGGCTTCCATGGGAGAGCAGGGAGGCGTAGTACAGGACAATTTGCAACATGTCACTGTGTGTGTTAATATGTAATGTATTCTTTAGAAATATACTTTAATATATGTATGTTATAGAATGTTTAAGATGATTATTCATTTTCAACTAAGTTGTAATCTGCCTCAAGCCACGAGAAGATGCGGGTAAGAAATAAAATAATTATAATTATAATTATCTGAAGATACTATTGTTTATTTATTATTTATTGTTTATTTAGCCACATTTCCATGCATTTTTAAGAGGAAGTAGGGAGAGAGATAATATATTTCTGACTGATAGACATGTTGACTTGAATTAACATTAATGTTCTTGTTCAGTGCATGGTGGATATTCTGAATGGCTTGACTGGCAACCATGTAGCGTGACATGCGGTCAAGGTGTTCAAAAGAGAATTCGTCTGTGCAACAGTCCATTCCCTGCAAATGGTGGACTGCGATGTATGGAACCTGATAATGAAAGACGCAGCTGTCAGAACAAACCATGTCCAGGTAGACAATTTGCATAAATACTTCTATTATTGGAATTTCACTTAGAATCATAGAATCATAGAGTTGGAAGAGATCTCATGGGCCATCCAATCCAACCTCCTGCCAAGAAGCAGGAAACTCGTAACCAAAATACCCCTGACAGATGGCCATCCAGCCTCTACTTAAAAGCCTCCAAAGAAGGAGTCTCCACCACACTCCGGGGCAGAGAGTTCCACTACTGAACAGCTCTCACAGTCAGGAAGTTCTTCCTCATGTTCAGTTGGAATCTCCTCTCTTGTAGTTTGAAGCCATTGTTCCGCATCCTGGTCTCCAGGGCAACAGAAAACAAGCTTGCTCCCTCCCTCCTATGACTTTCCCTCACATATTTCCCTCACATATACATGGCCATCATATCTCCTCTCAGCCTTCTCTTCTGAAGGCTAAACATGCCCAGCTCTTTAAGCCACTCTTCATAAGGCTTGTTTTCCAGACCCTTGTTCATTTTAGTCGCCCTCCTCTGGACACATTCCAGCTTGTCAATATCTCTCTTCAATTGTGGTGACCAGAACTAGACACAGTATTCCAAGTGTGGTCTGACCAAGGCAGAATAGAGGGGTAGCATGACTTCCTGGATCTAGACACTAGACTATTGATGCAGGCCAAATTCCCATTGGCTTTTTTACTGCCGCATGGCATTTTTGGCTCATGTTTAACTTGTTGTCCATGAAAACTCCAAGATGCTCTCGAGCCATGCATCCCCCATTCTGTATCTTTGCATTTCATTTTGTTCTGCTTAAGTGGAGTATCTTGCTTTTTTCACTGTTGAACTTCCTTTTGTTAGTTTTGGAAGTCAGCTCTCCTAAAGTTCAGAATGTCGGTTTGACTTGTCTTCGTTTCAGCTTTCCTTCGTATCGCAAACTGCAGGAGCACATGGTCACTTGCCCCTAAGGATCCGACCACTTCAACTGCATCAATCAGGTCCTCCGCATTTATTCGGTTGAGATTGAGAGTAGCCTATCCCCTTGTTGCCTCTTCTAGCTTCTGGTCCATAAAATTGTTTGCAAGGCAAGCGAGGAATTTCTTGGACTTTGTACTCTTGGCCGAGTTGGTTTTACAGCAAATATAGGGATAGTTGAAATCGCCCATGACTACTATATATCTTCTTTGTACCTGTTTTGTCAACAGTTGATAGGAAACTTTGTCGAGATCTTTTTGAGTCCTTATTCCCTTGATTCTTATCCAGATGCTTTCAAGCTGGTTTCCCATCTGAGCCCCACTTAATTGAATTGCAATCCCACCATCGAGTTTCATAGGTCACTCACACATTACATTCTGCTGTAACATAGAGCCTAATTGTTTATAACATTAATGGTTAGAATTATGTTCTATTTGTGTCACTGAAATGTATATTACAATACCCTGACAATAATAATCATGTTACATTCCTTTTTCTTTTAACTAAAGGATGTTTTAGACCAGGCATCCTCAAACTGTGCCCCTCCAGCTGTTTGGGCCTCTAACTCCCAGAAGCGCTAATGAGCTTGTTCAATTGTCAGGAATTCAGGAGTTGAAGGCCAAGCAGCTGGAGGGCCACAGTTTGAGGATGCCTGTTCTAGACAGACTTGAATCCGTTTATCAGTTCTCCAGCTTGAGCTGATTTCATTGGGATCTGGTAATTTTTGTTCATTCTAATAATCCTGAGAGAGAATATACTTTGCAGTGTGTGATAATAGAGTGTTTATTATATATATTCTGTGTAGTTGATGGCAACTGGTCTGAATGGTCATCTTGGGAAGAATGCTCTACAACCTGTGGACAAGGCAACAAGACAAGGATCAGAACTTGCAGCAGCCCTTCAGCTCAGCATGGTGGAAAACTCTGTGACGGCCATGCAGTGGAGTCAGTCATGTGCAACCTCAGGCCCTGCCCGGGTGAGAGGACAGAGTGGTTAGGTGGCGTGCATGAGTCAGACTTTATAGGCATTACCTTCTCTAGAGCAGCGTTTCTCAACCTGGGGGTCGAGACCCCTGAGTGGGTCACGAGGGGATGTTAGAGGGGTCTCCAAAGACCACCAGAAAACACAGTATTTTCTGTTGTTCATGGCGGTTCTGTGTGGGAAGTTTGGCCCAATTCTATTGTTGATGGGGTTCAGAATGCTCTTTGATTGTAGGTGAACTAAAAATCCCAGTAACTACAACTCCCAAATGTCAAAGTCTATTTTCCCCCAACTCTATCAGTGTTCACCTTTGGGCATATGGAGTATTGGTGCCAAGTTTGGCCCAGATTCATCATTATCTGAGTCCACAGTGCTCTCTGGATGTAGGTGAACTACAACTCCCAAACTCAAGGTCAAAGCTCATCTATTTTTTCCAGTATTTTTCATTGGTCATGGGAGTTCTGTGTGCCAAATTTGGTTCATCTCCATTGTTGGTGGAGTTCAGAATCCTCTTTGATTGTAGGTGAACTATAAATCCCAGCAACTATAACTCCAGCATGACAATATCAATCCCCCCAAACCCCACCAGTATTCAAATTTGGGCGTATTGGGTATTTGTGCCAAATTGGGTCCAGTGAATGAAAATACATCCTGCATATCGGATATTTACATGATGATTCATAACAGGAGCTAAACGACAGTTATGAAGTAGCAACTAAAATAATGTTATGATTGGGGGTCACCACAACATGAGAAACTGTATGAAGTGGTCACGGCATTAGGAAGGTTGAGAACCACTGCTCTAGAGTGTTATGTAGAGCACGGGTATCCAAACAAGCATTTGAAAAGAAGCTTTTACTATTTTCTTTCTTTTACTTTCATTCTCTTCTTCTTTATCTTTTTTTTTTTTACATCTGCCCACACATCCCAAGAGCCATCTCTAAGGAGGCCTTTCTTTTCCCAGTATATAGATACTGGGTGTTCAGAAAGACCCCAAATTTTCCCAAGACTTGTCTGCATATACAGGGAGCTGAATGAAGAATTTAAGGCTTGAAAAGGTTACTCTTTGGACTGCAACTCTCAGAATATCCCAGTCAGTATAATCAGCAAGGACAATCATTGACTCGCACATTCTGAGACTTACTTTTCCAGTCTTTGGAAGGAGGTCAGAATGAATGGAAAAGGATGATGGTTTGGGTGACTTCTACTTGCACTACCTTTGGGTCCAACCCAATGTTTTATTTTTTTTCTTTCTAAAAAGAATTTCAATCTCTTGCAGTTAATGGTGCCTGGAGTTCTTGGCTTCAGTGGGGGCCTTGTAGCAAGACCTGTGGCAAAGGTACTCACACAAGGTTACGTCTGTGCAATAACCCTCCTCCGTCATTTGATGGTTCTCATTGTGATGGACCTGATACACAGATGCAAGTTTGCAATGAGAAACACTGTCCAGGTAAGTGACAAATAACGTGAGCCACTTATTTGGAAGGTGATGGTGTATGGATTGGAGAAAATGTTTAGGAGCTGTCATGTCAATAGCCCTGGTTAGATTTTGATTCCACTTATTGACCAGGGATTCAAAAGGATCATCAGTGATGCCAGTCATAGAACCCTCTAAGGCCTCATGGATCCATTAGCCTTCGAGAGCAGATCATTTTAATAAGTCCTCCTCCCCTGCAGGGATAGGTTGAGGCTGTGACACTAGTCCTGACCAGGAAACTATCTGCCCATGACAACCAAGAGATATTGATAACCTCCGCCCACAGATCCATATGTTCCGAACTGAAAATCACATCGAGGGTATGACCTGCCGAATATGTATGTTGCAAGACAGATCCATTAAAGCACCAGACCAATATTAATTAAATATTAATATTAATCAAAAAGGAGCCAAAAAATAACTCAAAAAGGCTCAAAACACTTGTTCTTCAGTGTGAAACATAAAATTACCCACAACTGGGCCAAAAAACAAGACCTGGAAAATAACCCAGATTAAACTGGAATATAATCCAGTTTAAACTTAAAGTTATGCAAACAGCAAGAAAAAGCACTCAAAACAAACGAAGGTCATCTTAGCACACAAAGGGTCATCACAGCACACAAGAGTCGTCAGAAACACCGAGGTCATCCACCGTGAAGTCAGTCCAAAACGAAGTCGTCGTCCCAAAGAAGCAAGCGTAGTGAATCCAATCCGAGTAGTAGAGGGAGAAGTCAGCATACACGAAAATCCAGTCCAGGGATTACACAAAGCCAATACGGAGAACTGCAGCTCAGCAGCTAATGCATAAAGATCAACACAAGACAGTCCAGAGAAAACCCTCACAGTTCCAGCCCACCAAAGCCGCAGATAATCCGGTTTAAATTTATGTCCACAGAAGTCTTCCCAAACATGTCTTCCTAAACACAGCTCCCAGGAACACGCAGACACCCATCAACACCTTGCCGACTGCAAGGAGTCCCCATTTCCCAACCCCACTTTTATTTACAAATCTTCCTCAGAGCTGGAACTAGCCAAACCCCTGCCAACGCCCCTTGCAGCTGAAGCCCCTTGCCCCAATTCCTCCTCCAAACTGGAATCAGACAACGCCCCACCATTTCTCCTTCCACCTGAAGCCCCTTGCCGATCTCTCCAGTCTCTCCATCTTCTATCCAAACCCATAACTCCCCAAGATTCAACCGGATCTCCAGTGTGCCAATCCTCTCCTCCAGAGAAACCCACAAATGTATCGCTACTTGTGGGCTCTTCACAGACGGCCTGAACCTCCCGTACTTTAGTCCAATCCATTTCTTCATCCTCTGAACTTGCCATACCACTCTCTTCAGTCTCAGACTCATTATTCCCTGTGAGGCCCACAAATGATTCATCATCACTGGATTCCATAAATATTTCCCGGATCTGCTTTCTCTGTTGCTCCTCATCGGAGTCTTGCTCACGAGTAGTCTTTCTTCCCCTCCTAATACTCCCAGTAGTATCACTATTCAAAGACTCCATCACAACGACATAGGTCCAGAAACCAGTTGAGTTAGGCCAATGTTTGCACCTGACAAACCTCAGTGGCCTCAGTGGTATGTTGAAGTCACCCAGAAGCAGTTTCGGTCAGTATCCCCAGTCTATCCATGGTTTTCAGACTCAGATATACACACTCAATGTGATTCAGAGAACATGTAGGAAAGACACTGCCACCATCCTTCTATATCCTCCACCATCCTTCTATGTCCTATTTCCCACTTTATCTTTGCTCCTTCTTGTGTCACATTGTGCCAGGTATTTTTCTCCTTCCTAATTAAATCCTAGTTTCAGAGCTAAGCAATCCAATTGCAGCAACCAGTTAGAAAGGTAGATAACTAAGGTCCAGAAATTGGTAGGATTCCCTTATCCTCTGTCTCATCCTACTTTTCTGTTAAGACTGACAACACACATTTTAAAATAGTTGAATAACATTTGATTTGGCTCCTATAATCCGATTCTGGTTAAATGATTTCTGGAGACGTGCTTAGCTATCTGTAACGTGCAGATAACCTACGTTGCAGTGAAAGAAATGGAGTTGCATTTGAAAGTGTTTTATTTTTAAAAGAATCCTCAAATCTATTTTTCAACCAGTGAATGGAAAGTGGACTTCCTGGTCCAGCTGGAGCACCTGTACCATGTCCTGTGGAGCAGGTACCCGTCAGAGAACAAGAGATTGTTCAGACCCATCTCCACAATATGGTGGACACAAGTGTGAAGGAAATGACATGCAAGTTGATTTTTGCAATAGTGATACATGCCCCAGTAAGTATCTTTGTGATTATTGCTAGAAGTTAAATAAGTGCATACCTTAAAGAGCACGTCCCCATTCATTTGTATAAAAGTAGAGGTCACATCAAATTATAGTCCATAATAACTATAATGCTATAACTGGGAATGGGAAAATAGATTTAAATATGGTATTTTCCAAAGTTGTCCATTGTTCGTACTCAGAATTTGGTTCCAATAGGAGAACGATATTGATATGTATTTTCGTTATTTCAGTTTAGCAGTGGGGAACCTGCTAAATCCAAATGTGTTACTCCCAAACTGGACTGAAACTTGAGTAAGAAAAATCAACATAAAGTTGCACTTACAGCAAATTCTATTTCAAATCACAGCTAAAATAGGTCCATTAAAACAATTGGCTTTACATGTGTGTTGACTCACTATTCAGCAATTGATCTAGCGGCACTATTCCAATTTAGGCTAACCAGCAAGACTCTAGTCTAAGAGCTTGACAGAAGATGTAGTTTGACCTTTTGATAAGTTCAGCCATATAGATAAAATATAAAATCTCTTTTGCAGTACAGAAGGGGGACTTTGTCTACATAAACTATCAATGAATGCATACACTTCCAGCACTGGTGAGAGAGGCTTTTGAATAAGCGCTTTTCAATACCACTCTTGCAGGCATATTACTTCAATTAACACACTAATGTTGATATCCTATCATGCAAAAATTCTGCTGGAAGCATTATACCATATTTACCCACTCAATCTTCTTGCCTAGGTTTCACCATATTGCTACTGAAGTACCGCTCAACTGATTGGGGTTGGAGGGTGGAGGTGAGGGGTCCAGAGCTGCGCACTTTGGTCATTGTTGAGGGAGGAAAAGATTACAGGCAGTCCCCAAGATAGATTCTGTAAATTTGTTATTAAGTTGAATTTGTATGTAAGTTGGAACAGGTACAGTTTAAAGTGTAAGTCCACCCAAATACACACACATATACATCCATACACATATGTAAGCTTTGGATAGCATAACGCAGGGTTAACAACACCCCTGTGGTGTTTATTTTGCTGTCTGTGTACATTTCATCTGATTTTCTGCCCTTCTAATTGGATTTTGAAAAAAAATGACATGTGGAAAACAAGGACTGGTGAGAGGGTTTCAGTGGAGACCCTTTCCCCCATGACTACTCTTTCAGGAGTGAATTTCTTTTCCTTGGGGTAGATTTCTCTCACTTCCTGTTGTCTCATCCCTGTTTGTAATTATGAGTCATTTGTAATTGGATGTTTGTAACTCAGGGATTACCTGTACCAACCTTCAAATGACCAGAAAGGTGGTGGTGGTTTGAATGATGTTCTCTTTCCATAGCACATGGTAACTGGGGTCCCTGGAGCAACTGGGGAACTTGCAGTCGAACATGTAACAGTGGCCAAATGAGGAGATACCGGACTTGTGACAACCCTCGTCCACTCAATGGAGGGAGCGCCTGTGCAGGAGCTGATACACAGATACAGAGGTGTCATGTAGAGCTATGCCCTGGTGAGTTATCTTGATATGTACATAGTTGCTGCATATATTCCTGAAAGGTGACCATCCAGATTTTTTTATAAAGCAATGAAAAGGCAAATAATGTAATATTCAGATACTAGTTGGATCTGTTGGGAAGAAACAACTTGTTTTTTGTTGGAGCATGAATTCAGTAGATTTGAAATCTGGATACTAGGGCTGTCCAAACACGGAAAAAATTGTTTCTAAACTCGATTCGTTTTTAGGGGGTTTTTGCGTTTCGTTATTTAAAAGAATTCCGAAATTTTCCTTAAAAAAAGTTCGATATTTACGAAATTTCGGAAATCATAAAACAATTACGAAACAATTACGAATCGTTTTTGAATCGATTCGTTAATGGCGGCCGCGATCACGCAATACGCTAAAAAAACTTCAGAAGCTTCCCTCTCCCTCTGTTGTTGACTGTTGGTGTGATAATTATATTTTTTTTCACTGAGAAAACAAACAGCAACCCTAAAACTTGCACCAGACATGCGGAAATAATAACGAAACATTTACGAATCAATAACGAATCAATAACGAAACAATTACGAAACAATTACGAAACAAATTGGAAAATTTGTTTCGTTTTTTAGTTGCTCCTGAATGGTTCAATATCGTTTCGTTATCAAAAAAAATAACGAATTTTTAACGAATTACGAAATTACGAAACGAAACCGCCCAGCCCTACTGGATACCTGTGCCTAAGAGCTTGCAGTTGTCTGTTGTCAAAGGCTTTCATAGCTAGAATCACTGGGTTGCTGTGAGTTTTCAGAGGTATATATAAACCTAACTTGCCTAGTTTTCAACAGACCTTACTACTTCTGGGGATGCCTGCCACAGATGTGGATGAGATGTCAGCAGAGAATGGAACATGGCCATATAGTCTGAAAAACTCACAGCAACACATTGCAGTTGTCTGTTTCTTTGATTGAAACTTCATATGGTTGTAGTAGGCCATATCTTCAAATATGGATGTCTTCAAACACACTAAAATGGAAGTTGGTTCAGTTCAAATCACAAAAGGAGCACAAGTTGGAAGGAGGAAGGGATAGCTTGAATTCTGTCCTGCTGTCCCTTCCTCTCTTCATTGTTTTCATGGGGTTTCATGGGGCAGGGTGTTTCTTTTTAGGGGTTCTCTTTGTTACTTCACTTCAAATTACACCCAGAGCTTTGTTTAGGGGATGCCTGGGGAGACTGCATCTGAGAAATAAAAGTGATTCCATCATATGGTGGTGTAGGCCTCACAAACCCTAGTCATGCTGTGTTGTATTTTACTTTGTGAAATAGTTATGAGTGTGGCCTTGTGTTGGTCTAAAGTTCTATAGGGATCTGTGGCTAGAGATTCTTTGGCTATGTGCAGCTGTTGAAGCTTTTAATGTTGTTCTACTATTAACTTACTACTTAGCTCTTATTCAGTGATGGTTAGGGTCAGTATGGGAAGCATCAGTAAAAATGTAAATTCTGCAGTCATCCTTCTTTACTGGTTCACAGTGGATGGGAATTGGGGTTCGTGGCAGTCTTGGAGCACATGTTCTGCTTCCTGTGGAGGAGGACAACAGACTCGATCCCGGCTGTGCAATAATCCATCCCCATCCAATAGTGGACGTTTTTGCCCTGGAGACAAGTCTCAGATATCCAGGTGTAAAATTCAAGCGTGTCCAGGTAGGTGATTGTATATCAAGTATTGAGAAGCAATACAAACTAGTATCTCATGGACACCTGTGTTTGATATTCCTGTCCTATTTTCAAATACCCTCATGAAATATACAGGATGTGGTCATTTCTTTCTGAGAAATGAAAAACATATTTTCTATCAAACATATTTTCATATTTTCATATTTTCAAAACATATTTTCTATCAAATTAAATAAAGAAAAAGTTGCTAAAAATTATGAGGAAAATTGTTTGTCACTCTCCCTATCTGAAAGCAACACAAATATGCAGGGATCTGGTAAAACTATGGGTGTTTCTCCCACTTCCAAAAACATTTTTCAATTGCTGTTTCCGTAAAATTTGGCACTAGAATACACACAGATTTTACATGTCAATGTGATAAATATATTTTGGTTGTTCTGACCAAGATCCTAACCAAATGTTGCATGAAGCTTGCCTTAATTCTTCCAGAAGTTTGTAATTTTTCCTTTCCTGTCATGACAGGCAATATTAAACAACAGTTTCTTTTCACTCTGAGTGCTCAGTGTCTCATTAAAAGGCTCTGGATTTCTCTCTAGGGATGCATTACCTAGTTGATAACGTCACCATTTAAGTGAGCTGTTCCATTTTATGTTTCACTAAACAGAGGGTCCACAGTATTTGCACACCACCACTTGAAGGTCATTTTTTTTCTTTTCAAAATATTACCAGGGAAGAGATTTTAGAGACTGGCTTATTTAAGAACTCTGTGGGTCTGACTAAAGGTCAGTCCAGTACAGCACACTGTGCCTACCATAGCTATTCAGATGCTAGAAAGTCTACAAACATGACATGAATGTATTAACATCCTTTTGCTCATGTTCCCCAGTCATTAGTATATGGTCTCTAATAGGGGAAGGAATACTAGATAACCTCATAGCTAGTATATGTTGATAGTCTTATTCCTTGAGAATTTAAGGTTTGGATGACCATCTTTTGGTGGTGCTGTAATTTAATATTCCTGCATGGCAGGTTGTTGGGCTTAAGAGTGCTTGATTCTATCAATTTAAGACATACTTTCTTGTTTCCTTTGTACCTGTAACAGGTGGGCCCCCACATGCTAGAGGAAGTGTCACTGGAAATATTAATGATATTGAATTTGGAATAGCTTTCCTGAATGCCACCATAGTAGATAGTCCAGGTCTCAACACTCGAAGGATACAAGCCAAAATTACCAATATCCCTCGGAGTCTTGGTATGTCTATTACTGTTATTTTGTTGTTTATAATTTTATGTAGATGCTCAAACTTATACAGTTAACAACCTGAGATACTGCTTCCCAGCCAGCAGGAAATGCCTCTATTCACCAGAACTAAGAGACAGCATTGGTTTGTTTAATTTTTTTCATACCGGAATGTGACATTCTTGCATTTAATGCATATTGGTTTATACGTCTCTCCAATGTCTGATAAAAAGATTTTAAAAAGTGAATGTCAACACATTATTTTTCAGGATAAGACTAATAAAAGGAAACTTTTAATGCACATTTTTCATATAGAATAATGACTAGCAAAGTCCCACCATATGTTTCTCTGTCAATAAGAGAAATCCAGAAAGTAGACAGGTGAGATTATGTGATGCTTTCACTATTTGCACAGTCTCGGATTGTTATTTTCAGAAGATATTTACTGAAATCAGGAGAAAGTTTATTGAAAGTTGTGTGATATGATAAGCCCAGTTGAAAGGTCTGGTGGAAGTAGTACAACTTCAACAACAAAAATGGATACAAATGCTAGAAACACAAAAATCAAATGCTGGTGTGCCTGTGACAATATTATTTGTTCCCTACAGGTCCATTAATGAGAACACTAGTTTCTATTCTTAGTCCCATTTATTGGACAACAGCCAAGGAAATAGGGGAAGCTGTGAATGGCTTTTCTCTTACCAATGCAGTTTTCAAGAGAGAGACACAAGTGGAATTTGCTACCGGTTAGTCAACAAAGGATGAAAATTGATTTTCTTTAGAACTGTTTCCCTTGGAATCTCTTCTGTCATACTTTGAGGGGGGTTGTGTGGAGCAAATAAAGCTTTTTTTTCTGAATCTCATTTTGAGATGTATCAATGTCAGCCTATAAGTGTATCATTGTAGTCTGAGAACAATGCATTCTAAGAAAATGGAAGATTTAAAAAAAGTTTTAGCATTTGGGGTTCAGTTCTTTCTGCTGTCTATGTCATCTGTTCACTCTGGGGAGGAGCACTTCCTTCTTGGCACAAATTTAAATGCTTCTTCTGAAAAATGCACCCCACACATCTTTTACAGTAGTTCTCTTTTGGTTTTGCATTTCTTTTTAAAATTTCCATGAAGTGCATTTATAATTCATGTATGACTATTATTAAAATTCACAGGGGAGATATTACGAATGACATACATTGCTCGTGGTTTGGACTCAGACGGTTCTTTACTCCTGGATGTTGTCATCAATGGCCATGTCTTACAGCTACAGTCATCAGCTATTATTAATGTAAAAGTAAGTATAATTCTATCCTCCTTGAATTGTAATAGATATGACATCAGTATTTTACATATTTAACAAAAAGCAGCCACTATAAAATATCTGAAATCCATTTTAATGTAATAATTTCATCAGGCCAAAAAACGTTGTTGTATCTAATAAAGAAGTTATATTAAAATGTTGATTTTGGAACTTTAATGGCTTTTTTAAGAAACCCTGGATTTGTTTTTTCTCAAGATCTTTTGCTCAGCATTGTATTCAATTTTACTATTACTTTTAACTATTTTGATAAGGAATATATACTTTTTGACTTTTTGTCACTCCAGCAAACCTTTTCACTGAGCACTTGTTTTGCCTCCTAAGAACCATTTTCATTGATAGGGCGTAGGAGCCCCTGGTGGTGCAGTGGGTTAAATCCCTGTGCCAGCAGGGACTGAGGACCGACAGGTCGCAGGTTTGAATCCGGGGAGAGCGCGGATGAGCTCCCTCTATCAGCTCCAGCTCCTCATGCGGGGACATGAGAGAAGCCTCCCACAAGAATGGTAAAACATCAAAAACATCTGGGTGTCCCCTGAGCAACGTTCTAACAGACGGCCAATTCTCTCATACCAGAAGCAGCTTGCAGTTTCTCAAGTCGCTCCTGACATGACAAAAAAAAATGTTAGGGCACACTGATAAGTAACTCTGCTTATTGCATTTTTTTAAAAAAATATATGTTTTTAAATGAATTTTATGAAATATAAATTAATGGCATACAGAATATGACAAAGAAAAACATTTAAAGATAATAGGATACACATAATACAGATATGTCATTCCCAAAAAACCCCTCCCCCTCCCCATGAACCACCACTCATGTTTTCCAAAACCACCCTGTGTAAAACTAATGTCTTAGAAAAAAACCCTACCCTTATCCTATTTTAATAAATCCCCCTTGTCAAAAGGGAATGTATATGGGAGAGAGAATAGACAGAAAAGACTTAAAGAACTTAAAAGTTGGCCCCTGCTTATCAATGTTGTTAATTTGGAAATAATGGCAAAGTAAATTACAAATAAATAAAATTGACCCTTTCCCGTTAGAAACCTTGGATAATAAGGACAAGATATTCAGGAATCTAATTTGGGCACTTAAGGAAAATGGAATCAAAAGAGTAGGGACCTCATGGAACCCAATGGAGAAATAATAAAGTGGGATAAGATAAAAGTCAAAAGTGATCAAGGGAACTGGATAGCATGGTTAGGCTTGTCCAGTAAAGCTCAGGCCATGAAAAGATGAGAAGTAGCAGAAACCCCACTAGACAAAATAATTAAAAGGAAAGTAGAAATAGACAAAGGAATTACTGGGCTACTGTATGACAAATTAATCACCTTAACTTACAACACAAAAACAACCCTTATAGAGAATTGGAAACGAGAGAAAAACTTTAGTGAGAAATTAATTGGGTCTTGGATCGACAATATTCATAAAATTAAACATATGAGGATCAAAGAAACCAAAAGGAAAATAATCTCTAAATGGTATAGAATCCCCCTCCAATTAGCACACATAATGGGAAATATTTCAAACAAGTGGGGGATAGGTTCATTCTCCCACATGTGGTAGAACTGTCGAAAAATTCAGAACTATTATAGTAAAATAAGAAATGTAATGAAAGAAATAATAGGGAAAGAATTAATGTGGGATAAAGCCAGATTCATGTCTCTCACAATAAAGGTAAAGGAAGATGACATAATTGGACAGAAAACCTAAAATATATGACAGCCGCAATACAAGCCACGATAGCCCAAGGATGGAGAGACAATACAAAATGGGATTTAGAAACTTAGTGGGTTTATCTATTAGAATATATAATTAATGATTTCATCAATCAAAGGAAAAACAAATATATAAATAGTCAAAAAGAACAAGACTGGTTCAGGAAATGGTTTGTGCTAATAGACAAAATAGACAGAGCCGCCAGATATAGCATTTTGAACCAGGCTTTCCACACGGTTAAACTGATGCAATGACATCATTTAGAATGGCTGTTCCAGGCGGGCGGGGGGGGGGGGAGGGTGATGGGTGATACATAACTAATTAAAAAAATAAATTCCCCTTGTGACTATTACTTTGAAATCTATTTTTTCTTATTTTCTAGATATCCAAATGCAAGCTTCCATTTCTTAACAAAGTCTTCATGGCTTCCTCCCTGTACGCCATTTGATAGCTTGGCCATTTGGATATATCTAATAATTTTTCTCTCCAGTCCTGTACCAATAACTCTTTTTCTCCTTTCCAAGATTTTGCTATTATTATTATTATTATTATTATTATTATTATTATTATTGCTGCAACAAAACTGTCATGACAGATTTCTACATTCTCTTTACTGATTTTTTTTTACCAAATAGCCCTAAGAGACATCTCTCTAGATTTCTCCTAATCTTTTTAGCAATCATATTATTTGTTTCTTTAATCATTTCCCCCCAGAAAGTTTGTACCAACTTACAGGTCCCCAGGCATGAAGAAAGGTACCTTTCTGTTCTTTACATCTCCAACAATCCCTCCAGTGAGATGTATCTATTTTAGTTATTATCTCAGTTGTTACATAGCTTCCATAAAACATTTTGTACATGTTCTCTTTAAGAGATTGAAATTTTTAATCCTCTTTCCCATAAAAATTCCCAATTATCTAACTTAATATTTTTCCCAAACATTTTTCTCAGAAAATCATTACTGTTTTCATAGTATTATCGTCTATGTTGTACTCTAATATCTATTTATATATAAATGCTCTGTGCATAATGAATACCTTAAAAACAAAAGAACCAATGAACAAAATCACACCAAATTTGGCAACAAATCATCTCACAACACAAGGAGTGACCATCACTCAAAAAATTATGATTTTGTCATTTGGGAGTTGTAGTTGCTGGGATTTATAGTTCACCTACAATCAAAGAGCATTCTGAACTCCATCAACGATGGAATTGCACCAAACTTGGCACACAGAACTTGGCACACCAGATATTTATCGTGTCATCCGCAACCAGAACATTGTATTACATTTCTAACAGAACAAAACAAACAAACAGATAAAAAACCCACAAATTTTGCAAACTTGGTAGCTGATTAAATGTCCTTTGACCAGTATCTGGCCACTTGGAGTGCCTCTGGTGTTGCCGCAAGAAGGTCCTCCATCATGCATGTAGCAGGGCTCAGGTTGTATTGCAGCAGGTGGTCAGTGGTTTGCTCTTCTCCACACTCGCATGTCGTGGATTCCACTTTGTAGCCCCATTTCTTAAGATTGGCTCTGCATCTCATGGTGCCCGAGCGCAGTCTGTTCAGTGCCTCCCAAGTCGCCCAGTCTTCTGTGTGCCCAGGGGGGAGTCTTTCATCTGGTATCACCCACGGATTGAGGTGCTGGGTTTGAGCCTGCCACTTTTGAACTCTCGCTTGCTAAATTCCCATGACCAACAGAAAATATTGGAAGGGTTTGGTGGGCATTGACCTTGAGTTTGGGAGTTGTAGTTCACCTACATCCAGAGAGCACTGTGGACTCAAAAAATGTTGGATCTGAACCAAACTTGACACAAGCACTTAATATGCCCAAATATGAATACAGATGGAGTTTGGGGGAAATAGACCTTGACATTTGAGAGTTGTAGTCACTGGGATTCACAGTTCACCTACAATCAAAGAGCATTCTGAACCCCACGAACACCAGAATTGGGGCAGACTTCCCACACAGAACCCCCATGACCAACTTAAGGCCATCCAGTCCAACTCCCTTCATAAGGGCAAGAAAAAATAATCAAAGTCCTCCTGACAAAGAGCCATCCAGCCATAGATAGATAGATAGATAGATAGATAGATAGATAGATAGATAGATAGATAGACAGATAGACAGATAGATATGATTTGCACACAGAGAGATATAGTATCCTAGATTTGAAAGGGACCCTTAAAGAAGGACAATGATATGTTGCATGTTGCATGTTCCATGGTGGGCAAACCAGACACTCTCCACATCAACACTGACAAAGAAACAGCAAGAAATACTGTTTACCCACAAGCATAAAGAAATTACATATACTAGAAACCAACACTTTCTCATTACTTTATTTTCCAGATCAACAGACTGGGCCACAGCAACGCGTGGGGACAGCTAGTGTACTTATATAATCTGGAAATTAATCCCTTATTTCTCTTCTCTAAAATATTCTCCAATTCTGATTTTCTTTTAGAGAATCCTACTTTATTATCTTTTTAAAAAATGTCATATAATTAGTTGTAGCGAAAGCAATCATTTATCCCTAACTCTTGTCTTCCTTTTAATCTCCAGGGCTCCTTTCTTTAATTGAGTACTCCTTATAGGTTCTCCTTTCTTTGTTAAAAATTGGATTTAATATTGCTTCCAGGTTTCGTAGCCATAACGGGATTATTTGTTCCATCCCCACCTTATATCTTTTCCAAATAGCTAATAGACTTGCTCTTAAGGGATGTCTATGAAAATCTTTATCAATTCTATCTTTTGCATACCATAAACACAAATGCCAGCCGGATCTTAGATTATATCCCTCTAGTTGAGCAAAGCTTGGTTTTCTAATATAACTCATTCTTTTAGCTAACTGACGCCTTCTACCTTGTAATAATACCTAAGATCTGGCAGTGCCAAGACACCTCTCTATTTAGCATCTATTAGGTTTTTGTAAACAATTCTAGCTTTTTTCCCCAATCCATATAAATTTAGTGAAATCCTTTTGCCAATGTTTGAAAATTCTCACTCCTTTAATTGTCAGTAGATTTTGGAATAAGATCATCATTTTTATCACTGCTGTTCTCCTCATCCAAGTTAATAGAATTATTTGCCATCTTTCCAAATTTTCTTTAATCTCCTTCCACTTATTTTCATAATTATTTTGAAGTAAAAAGTTATTTTTGTTGGTTAACCATAATCTTAGTTATTTTACTTTTGAGACTACAAGCTGGCAAAGTCTTCAATGTATTGATATTGCTTTTTGACAGATTTTTAGCTGCGAACATTGACTTATCCTTATTTATTTTAAATTCTACCACATTCCTATTGCTATTATTGATGATGATCAAAGAATAAATATGTCTTTTCAATGTCTTCTTAATTGGGAATTCTGGTGTAAATTTCAGGATTATACAGAAGATTACATCCAAACAGGTCCTGGTCAACTCTATGCTTACTCTACACGACTCTTCACCATAGATGGAGTTAGTGTGCCATACACCTGGAACCATATTATTACCTATGAGCAGAATCGTGGAAGAATGCCTTTCCTGATTGAAATGCTCCATGTCTCTTCTGTTGAGACAGAATACAACCCACTTGAAGAAGCTCTAACTTTTAAAACCCATGCTTTTATTACAAAAGGTATTTCTTATAGAAAAACTTCACACACTGGGTATGTGCAAAAAATATGCTTTGTCTCAAAACAATTTGGGCACAACACTTTGTCCAGTTGGAGAGAAATGAGGAAAAGTGAGTGTACAGCAAATTGATTAAAATTAACAAGCAAATGTACTGAGCCAATGGCATTCCAAATTGCATGTAATTATTCACTCATTTTTTTCTTGAAGTAAACAGCAAGCTACTTTCCTTACCCAAAGAATAACTATTCAAACAGAGTGATTTTTTGAAGACAATTGCAATTCTAGACTACAGTGAGAAAAATTCACATTCTGTTGTGTTCAGAAAACAGCTTTTTCTGTTAGAAAACAGCATTTTCTGTGTAGAAAATATTACTTCTGCATAGAAATGTCATTTTTGTACAGAAATGACTGTTTTCTGAAGCATATGAATCTCCAATAAGACTATTTACAGAAAACAAACTTTTCGGGGGGGGGGGGGGAGAGAAAAATCTGTTTCCTGCCAATGAAATGCTTTTTTATGAGCCAAACAGCTACATGAGAATTTTGTGCAGAATACATCTTCAACAGTGAAGGTTCTCAAGATGCTTCTCATATGGGTTTTTCACATGAGAAGAAATAAGTTTTTCAAACATTTAAAAATATTTCATTTTTTCTTTTTTCTTATTTTAACATTACATCTTGCTTACAATTAGTTTCCATTGGTGCTCATACTTACACACACTTCATTTAAAAATATTTCTAACCATTCTTTTTATCCCTAGTTTTATTATATTGAGTGATAGAAAACAAGATGCTTCTATTTTCTATCTGGCATATTTAATGAAAATTTTCATTTTTATCAACTAGGGTGACTTTTTACTTTCTTTGTCTATAGGAGACCACAGCAACCAGTGTCCAAATGGGTTTGGTTTGGATTCGTCTGGGCCCTATTGTTCAGGTAAGAAGAAAACTGACAACTCAATGAAATATAGGCTGATCTAATTGCTACTTCCACTCTACCAATCTCCAATCCTGTATAAATTCCTCTTCCTACTTCCTAGACTTCCTCTCTCCTTTTCACTTGATTTTTTTCATGTGAGGAACAACTTAAGAAGCTGCAAGTTGCTTCTGGTGTGAGAGAATTGGTCGTCTGAAAGGACATTGCCCAGGGGATGCCCGGATGTTTTACCATCCTGTGGGAGGCATCTCTCATGTCCCTGCATGGGAAGCTGGAGCTGACAGATGGGAGCTCACCCCACTCCTCGGATTTGAACTGCTGATCTTTTCCATTGGTCTTCTTTTCCACTTGATGAAAGCTTGAGAGCACTGTGCTACAATTGGTCAAAACAGTCTTCTTACATTATAAGCCCTTTTACACTACATAAATGTAGCTCTGTTATTTTAATTGACATTGCAATATCCCATAAAATCCTGGGATTTGTTGCTTAAGGTGTTTTATCTTGAATTTTCAGCCAGAGAGCTTTTGAGCCTTGCCAAGCTACAAATGTCAGGATTTCACAGGATATTACTTTGATTTTTTTTGGGGGGGGGGGGGCACCAGCATTCCTTGTAAAATGCCAAAATTGCAACCTGGGGAAATCATACTCCTTTTTCTCTTTTATTGTTATTTTTGTTGCTGTTAAATATAAATGTTGAGAATTCCAGAGATCTAATTAGGCCCTGCAGACTTCATGTTGTTAATGGACATTATGTGAAGGACATTGTAACTCAGTCATTTTGTCTTTTTTTTTTTTTGTTAGATGAAAATGAGTGTCTTGCTCAAAACCCATGTTCCCATACCTGCCACAATGCCATAGGAACTTATTATTGCTCCTGTCCTAAGGGTCTTACCATTTCAGCAGATGGAAGAGCATGCCAAGGTAACAGCCACTATAGAGGTCACTGAATAAGGAAGAATCAAATCCAGGAGTGTGAAACCACACACTTGAGTTAAATCCAGTAGGATAAATCCTACACATTGTCTTAAATATATAAACTAGAGACCACATCATTTTCAAATTGCAGTAGTGTTGTTGTTGTTGTTCATTAGTTCAGTCGTCTCCGACTCTTCGTGACCTCATGGACCAGCCCACGCCAGAACTCCCTGTCGGCCGTCACCACCCCCAGCTCCTTCAAGGTCAGTCCAGTCACTTCAAGGATGCCATCCATCCATTTTGCCCTTGGTCGGCCCCTCTCTTTTGTTATTCTCTAAAATCTCACAGTCCCTCCAATATAGCCATTTTTGAGGCACTAGAGAATTGTGTGATGAGGAGTGATCTGTCCAGCTTTCTTCTGGTCACAGAGTATACTGAGACAGTGGCCTCTGTTGGCTCCTCCTGGAATCCTATCATAGATATTTGTCTTAGTAGATCCTGTGACCAGAGGAGGACTGAACATTTTTTTGCTCAATTCTCCAGTACCTTGGAAATTACTGTGAACTTCAACCCTTCAAAGGTAGCATTTGTGGATCACTTTTGGTCATGGAGATTGTGTAATAGCCATAAGCATGAATTAGAATAATAACAATAATAATGACAAAAATTAGTCTTACAACATTGTAATTATTGAATGGAATGCCATTATTTTTTTCATTCACTGCAGTTATATCTTAACTTTCTTCTCCGTACTTAAATCTAGAGTAGAGGATATGATATCCAATCATTTATGATATCCAATCTCTCTTACCAGTGGGTTGGTGATAACCTTTGGACTTCAAATGCTTATCATGCTGATACTCATAGAAACCTCCCTGCTCCTAAATAGTTACTCTGAGGACAGTAGCTGAGATGAGGGGAACAGAAACATCACAGATGGGCATATTGTATCTCTTGCTTTTCATTGCAGCTTATAAAGCATATCTTTTTGGATTCCAAGTTTCCGAACAGGAATTCCTCCAATCATTGGTCATGCTTGCAAGGGGTTCTAGAAGTTATAGTCCAAAAAATAACTTCCCTAATGTCTCTAATGTCAGATGATGTCTCTCATTGATAATATTCTTATGATGAAAAGTGTTTCCCCCACAATAAACCTTGAACCATGGCTGGTTATGGATTTTTCTTTCTTGCAGATATTGATGAATGTGCCTTAGGGAGGCATTCATGCCACACTGGCCAAGACTGTGAGAATATTATTGGCTCTTATCACTGTGTAGTCCAGTGTGGTCTTGGCTTCAGAAGAACATCAGATGGACAGAGTTGCAGAGGTACTGATATGGTATAATTGATAAATAAGAGGAGATTACATTAAATAAAGGTTCAAGAAAGCAGGATGGATCCCTGAATGTATTGAGAAATGTACTGAAACTGAGATGTACATTCTTTCTATAATACAGAGAAGATGAAATCTAATAATTGGTTAATTGCCTTTGCCATACCAGAATAAGAAGATCAGGGCCGTAGCCAGAAAAAAAATTCAGGGGGGGGGTTTGAAAATTTTGCGGCGGGAGGGTTGAAACCTGCCTCCTAGCTCACGCTGAAGCAAAGAGCACAGCAGGGGGCAGAGCAGCCTGCAGCTTCGCCCCTGTCAACCACCTCCACCAAGTCCGGCCTCCTTAATGAGAGCATTCAACACCCACCCCCATCCCCCAACTTGATTGCTTCACTACATTGGATATTGCTGCAAGTAATGACAGTGTGAATAAATTGTCAATATTTGCTTGAGATAGTGCTTGCAGTTCTGGAGGAACTCTTAATTTTTTGCATCTCATAGACTTAGCATGGGGATTTGGTTAACTAGTTAAAATTCATGAGTAAACCAGGTTTTTTTTTTAACTTGAAAATTTTCGGGGGGGGGAGGGGTTGAACCCTGCTACAGGCCTGAAGAAGAGGTTACACTGAGTAAACAGGGACACATACAAGTGTATGTCACAGACTCAAACTTATCTCCTGCTCTTATTTAGAAAAGAGCCTTGTTAATTATATCATCCACCATCCCATCTTTTGGTGGGAAATCACCAAGGAAAAATCCCATAAACACACACACACACACAGAAGCATGTGAAGAGAGAGTGGGGAAAAGAAGAACTTTTGAAGAGAAGTTTTATTCTAACCAAGTGATCTTACATTAGCAAAATGGTATGTTGAACTTGTATATAAAACCACCATCCTTCAGGTGTTATAAGTGGCAAGAGAAACAGAAACAGAAAAAAATCCCCCTCTCTCATCCCAACTACCCTTCCTTCTGTTTGAGAACGAGTACTACAGAGGGATTCAAGGCAGAAAAGTATAATGCTTAGAGTTTACTATTCCACAGATGTTAATGAATGCCAAGAATCCAATCCTTGTAATCAACGATGCTTCAACACCATTGGCAGCTTCCACTGTGGATGTGATCCAGGATATCAGCTAAAAGGGACAAAATGCATGGGTAAGAGGTAGCTTATATGTGGGGCTAGAATCTTTTACTCCTTATGAGTAGTCTTTTCTACCACCATGATCATAATTTCAGAGTTACAGGTCTAGAATGTCCTTTTTTACAGGAAAAACTGTTTTAAAAGATACTCCAATACATGGAAGAAAGAAGTTGTCATGTACAGGGAAACTCATATTCAGAAAACGAAGGCTCTAAAAGTCTAAAAGCTTTATTTAAGAAAATAAAGTTAATCACAGTACAAGTTATGTACACTGGCAATGCAAACAAACTACATACAACAAATAGAGAATAGACATGGCAGATCTCATGCTCTTGTTCAGAAGAAAACAAAACAGGAAATTTCTTTAGTTTCATGAAAGATGTCAAATCAGATGGTCATTTTTTTGTCATTTTCAAGACGTGAATGAATGCAGGCAACATGTATGCCATCTTGACCAGCTGTGCAAGAATACCCGAGGTGGCTATAAATGCATTGACCTATGTCCAAATGGAATGACCAAGGCAGATAATGGAACATGTATAGGTGTGTATATTTTGTATATCACATTCTTTTCAACTACTGCTGCAAAGGATTAGAAGTTATTTGTGAAAACCAGTAATGCATTACTTCATTGGTATCCTTTCCTAAATATTGCAAAAATGAATACTAAGTGCATTATATTACTTTCATAACACTTTAATTTTCCTTTTCAGCTGAAAATATAGACACATTTATTGCCTTTGAAGAATAAGGAGAGCAGAGATGGAAATGTTGTTTATTCGTTCAGTCGCTTACGACTCTTCGTAACCTCATGGGCCAGCCTGCACCAGAACTCCCTATCAGCCATCACCACTCCCAGCTCCTTCAGAGTCAAGCCAGTCACTTCAAGGATACCATTCATCCATCTTACCCTTGGTCGCCCCCTCTTCCTTATTCTTTCCATTTCCCCCAGCATCATTGTCTTCTCTAAGCTTTCCTGTCTTCTCATGATGTGGCCAAAGTACTTCATCTTTGCCTCTACTATCCTTCCCTTCAATGAGCAGCCGGGCTTTATTTCCTGAAGTATGGGCTGGTTGGATCTTCTCACGGTCCAAGGCACTCCCAGAATTTTCCTCCAAAGCATCTATCTGGGATGAAAATGAGCATATACAAAATGCCCAAATTCTCATATCATAATACTTAAGGTCCCAGAAGAGGTCAGAATTGGAGCCAAATCTCCTGTTGAGGCATTAAAAACACACTAGGAAATTACCAAAATGCAGTTGGTGAAATCCAACTTTGAAGATTAACAATATGTCAAAACAGAAAAATAATACTTTTTACATTTCTTTTATATTTCGATGCACAATTACCTTAAGTGCCTTTAAGATGATGTGTTTCTTGTCAGATATTGATGAATGCCGAGATGGTACCCATCAGTGCCGATACAATCAATTATGTGAAAACTCCCGAGGAAGTTACCACTGTGTGTGCCCAAGAGGGTTCCGCTCCCAGGGAGTTGGAAGACCCTGCATAGGTAAGTTGGTCATCAGAAGTCAGATAAACATCAACCTTCATTCTGATGCTCCTCATTTGCTTTTTGCTGCAGCTTATGCTACAAAAATTGTCCAAAATGCAATATATCTTGAAATCAGCAGGCTCTAGTGATTTGACCTCTTGAAAAAAAGAGTAGCTGATTTCAAGTACAAATGCATATAATTCCCAGTGAATGACACCGTTAACAATATTTATTACATTAATTAAATATGTTTTGCATGTTGCAGAACAACAAAGGTCCAGTTTATGAAATGCTTGTTGTAGGATAATACATTCAGGAGAAATCCTGTTTCTGCATGTTTTCTTGCTTTGGTTAGCTCCTTAATATGCAGCAGCTTCTATTCTTTGCATATATATTCAGACCAAGATGATGCATTAACTGTGTGTGTGTGTGTGTGTGTGTCAAATGACATATGCCATTGGCCATTTGCTTGTTTGTCTTTGAATGCTGGAGTCTTATTTCACAAATAGCCAGTGCAGTAAACACACAGTCTATGGCTTGTGTGTGTGTGGACCAAACTTGGTTAGATCGGTCCAAGGCATTCTCAGAATTCATTGCCTCCTAGCCCAGTCCCAATCTGGATTGAAGCATACCTGATCTTTGTCTGGGAGGAAAAGACCCATTAAAATTAGAGTTCAGTGGTTCTCAACCTGGGGTCCCCAGATGTTTTTGGCCTACAATTCCCAGAAATCCCAGCCAGTTTACCAGCTGTTAGGAGTTGAAGGCCAAAAACATCTGGGGACCCCAGGTTGAGAACTACTGTATAGCTGCTTTAAATACTTTCAAATAGATTTAATGCAACATGTCTGCATAAATTGTTACAGATTTTTTTAAAAAAACACTAACAAATGCATTATCTTAATCATGATTTAAGCTTAGTACAAGAGCATGGCAGGCTACAGACCCATATTGCATGTCCTGTGTTTCATGTATTTTTCCCTGCCATTTTTTTTCTTGTTATTGTTATACGAAGGTGAAAATAGGAAATTTACAGTGTCATCCTCTACATGCTTACTTGGTAATATATCTGTGCTTGATTGGATTACTTCTAGATAGATTGCAACTCAGATTTATATTCAAAAACACTCAGAGGTGTTAACTGGGCTCATCTAGGAAAATTAGTTAATGTTTCTTTTGGGGGGGCATAGCAAAGTGAAAATGACATCTGCTTTGTTTTTGCTGCATCAATAAACAATTTCATTGACTCTATGCACTTTACCATTGATTTAGGAATGATTGCATTCCTTCATCTCTCCTTAAAAATTCTACCCCAGCTATAACCTACCTTGCCCATGTCCAGCATTATGTTTAATTTTAATCTATTACATTTGGCCCAGCCATTGGTTTTTAAATGCTTGTATGTTACTGTTGATTTATTGTTTATTTTTTGTTATGTGATTTATATTAATTGTTTTGCTTGATTGGTTTGTTATTGCTTTTGTTCATTGATGTACTATGGGCTTGGTCTCATGTAAGCCGCACCGAGTCCCTTGGGGAAATGGTAGCGGGGTACAAATAAAGTTTTATTATTATTTATTATTATTATGTTGGTCCAGTGCTGATCTTTCTGTGTGCATTTGGATAACCATGATAATTATATAGGCTGATATCCTGTTAATGATTATGCAAGTATGAACTGAGCATATACGTGCTTTTTTTGGGTCATTGTAGAGGTTGTTATTCTATCCTTCCCTCCTTAGTGACCAAAATCCCTCATTTTTAATATTCACCAGCCCGTTCTAAAAGCCCTTTTCACATAGCTAGTCAGAGGCCGATGAAGAGCCAGGAATAGGAGGAATTTCATGGTCAGACCTAGAATGATTATATTTTCTGCCAAGAGCTCAGAGGGACAGATCTCAGTGATAATATCATCATTCTGCAACTGGGTATGGGAACATGGCCAGGCATTTGTCTGATTCCCCTTTGAAACAGTGCCTTGGAAACAGTGCTATCACGGTGAAATTGTGAGTCCTATGGGAAGGGAGGGAGCCACCTACAGAATATTGACACTACGCTTGATGATGTAGAATCTCAGGCATGGCTTTCATAAACTGTTTCACAGGTAAACTGATGCATGCACTGTGTCATAAACCTGCAAACCATAGCTTTGTGATTTCAGAATCACATCTATAATTTCATTAGTTCCACAGACTGATGTACTTTTCTATGTTTTTGTGTGTCCCCCCTCCCCCGCTCCTTTCCCATGCGACATGATTTGTTGTTTTGGAAATCATGTCACACGAACAGATATTAATGAGTGCGAACAAGTGCCTAAACCTTGTGCATATCAGTGCACCAACAGCCCTGGCAGCTTCAAGTGTATCTGTCCCCCTGGACAACATTTATTAGGTGATGGCAAATCTTGCGCTGGATTGGAGAGGTTGCCAAATTATGGCACTTATTACAGTAGCTATAACTATGCTCAATTCTCCCCTGTGAGAGACAACTATCGACCTCAGCAATATATCAGGCACTCCTCCAATCTCTACAGCTCCTACTCAGAGTATAGGAACAGCAGAGTTCCAATCTCCAGGACTAAAAGGAATGCTAGAGAGACTTGCCCTGAAGGCTATGAGGCAAGAAATAACAAATGTATAGGTAAATGTCACATTTATCTATGTGTGTGTGTTGATATCTATGGGTTTTTCATTTCTTCTTGTTGAATAGTTTTAGGTTGCTTTTACACACAAGTATTGTAATTTGTGAGATTCCAATGGTACAATTTTTCTAACAAGTATATATTCACTACCTTTTAAAACTAAACAGCAACCTACATTGTTTGGATGCTAAAAAAAATAAAATGTTAAAAGAAATAAGACTAGTAAGACTACTTTACCACACCCTGTTAGAGTGGGATTTGGAAAGAGACAGAATTAAGGAGAATATGACAAGCTGGGCTTTTGATATAGGTCATTCAATTCTATTGAAAGACTGGGAAACAATATGGAAAAGAAAACTAAAATTCACAAAAGCATCAAGCATAATTGAAGGATGGTATAAGATTTATTTTAGGTGGTATTGGACACCTTCACGACTATCTAAATTCAATAAAAATTACAGCAACAGATGCTGGAGATGCGAAAAAGAACTAGGCACCCACTTCCACGTGTGGTGGGGGTGCAAAATAATTAAGAAATTTTGGTTAACAATACATAACTACATCCAAAAAATCATTAATGTGAAATTTGAATTAAAACCCGAACTTTACCTCTTAAACATAACAGAGCTGAACTTCACTGAAAATGAAGAGAGAATCCTCTTTTATATAACAGCCGCAGCTAGAACAACAATTGCACAAAAATGGAAGGAAAAAACCTCTCCAAATATTGAAGAATGGATAAACAAAATCCTTGACTACATGAATATGGAAAACTTATCACAAAAATTAAGCAACAAAGTAAAGAACAAACAAATAGACTGGGAACCTGTTAAAAGGTTCATGCAGGAAGAAATGCAAATCCAAATATAGAGATGTAAGATACAGCAACAAATATAGAAGGGAAAAAAATGGTAAAAGAAACAAGAGGAAAAATAATGGACAAAGTGATTTACTCCTTGTGACCTGAACCGGAAGTCAACACCTTTCCCGCCCCCTTCGAACCCTACCCCTCACCCCCCCCTCACCCCTCTTGTAGGTCCCCTCTTTTCACCCCTGACTATCCTTTCTTGTCTACCTTAAACTGTGTATTGTTCCCCCTCTTTCACTGTATTTTATTTGAAAAACTGAAAATAAAAATATTTTTAAAAAGTAAATAAAACACATTAGAAGAGGTAAAAAAAATCCAAAATATCATAAAACCAGAGATGAAGCAATACAAAGATCTGAAAAAAATATATAAATTTCACTTTTTCCCCAAATAATTGAAAAATATTTCACAGAGCTTACTCATTTTACTGCTCACTATATATGTTTAGATCATTTTTAGTTTTCCCACTGTCTTTTTGGGGAATTTAAAACATGGTGCAGTAAAAAATCCAGATACTCTTGATCTCTTTTAAGCTATTTGGGCACAGTGGAAGCATTACCATAGAAATGGATGCAGAATTAGGTTTGTCTAAATAGAAACACAGCTTTCTGAGGGTATGTGCTATAACAATGATACATTTAGGTCCACTTCTGTCTTTTTCTGTGAAAAAGACTTATACACACTTGGGATGACCATGCAGAAGGGTCATTTTCATATTTGAATGAACTGTCATAAGCCAGTTCAAAGCACAAAGTTTACCAAGAGATTCAATTAACACATTCAACTGTGATTAATTCAGTGCTGTTTTCCTAAATATGAATCAGCCCTTGATTACTCCAAGTGTCAATTTTCATCACAAATACGTTGTTTGGAATTGGTATCCAGCAAAAATACAAAAATGTTTATTTCTAAAGGTGCCAATAACAAAAAGGCAGAGATCCTACACCACACTGGCAAAGTGTAAATCTATAATAGTTTACCTATATGAAGCGGCAAATGTGACAGATTTTGCTCACTGTACCTGGCTAGTTCTAGATCAGACCTGCACAATATGCACCCCCGGGCCACATGTGGCCTGTACAAGCCATTGGGGCACCACTGCTGCTGCTGCCTCAGCTCCATGCTCCCATCACACAGGGATTCTTCCTCCCATCTCTCAATCCCTTCACCACTTGCCACCTCCATTTCTAATGGCAATAAGCAGCACACACACACACACAGAGAGAAAGGGGAACCATGCTCTCTAAGTTGCCGCCACCTTCTTCTCATCCTCTCCTTTAAAAAACAACAACCCTTGAGCGAGGGCTAGCAACAGGTGGTGGCAATATGAAAGGAAGGCAGAAGATTGTAGAGGCGGCAGCAGCATTGGGCACAGAGGCGGGGACACTTTCTGGGGACTGGCCAGGACAACTGGCTTCCCTCACTGCTCTTGAGCCTATGTATGTGTGTGTGTGTATAAACACGAAAACCCTGGTAATAACACCAGAAGCTGGTTATGCATTGGTACCATTTTGTGGTGAGGCTGCCAGGATTTTCCTGCCTTTGCCTTCTCTGGTTTATGTAAGAAAGAAGGAAAGGAAGGAAGGAAGGAAGGAAGGAAGGAAGGAAGGAAGGAAGGAAGGAAGGAAATGAAATATAGAAATGAAAGGAAAGAAAGGGAAGGAAAGAAAGGAAGGAAGGAAAAAGGAAGGAAGGAAAGGAAGAAAGGAAAGGAAAGGAAAGGAAGGGAAGGAAGGAAGGAAGGAAAAAAGGAAGGAAAAAAGGAAGGAAAAAAGGAAGGAAAAAAGGAAGGAAAAAAGGAAGGAAAAACGGAAGGAAAAACGGAAGGAAAAACGGAAGGAAAAACGGAAGGAAAAAGGAAGGAAAAAGGAAGGAAAAAAGGAAGGAAGGAAGGAAGGAAGGAAGGAAGGAAGGGAAGGGAAGGAAGGAAGGAAGGAAGAAGGGAAGAAAGAAAGAAAGAAAGAAAGAAAGAAAGAAAGAAAGGGAAGGAAGGAAAGAAAGGGAAGGGAAGGAAAGAAAGGGAAGGGAAGGAAAGGAAGGGAAGGGAAGAAAGGGAAGGAAGGGAAGGAAAGGAAAGAAAGGGAAGGGAAGGAAAGGGAAGGAAGGGAAGGAAGGAAGAAAGAAAAGAGGAAAGAAAGAAAGGAGGAAAGAAAGAAAGGGGGGAGGAAGTCAAAGAAAGAAAAAAGAAAGTGGGCAGGAGGAAGGTAAGAAGGAGAGAGGAAGGGAAGGAGTGATGGAAGCGAGGAAGAAAAAGAAAGAAGGGGAAAAGAAAAAGTGAGGCGGGGTGCCATGAGGCGAGGTGTCATGATCAAAGTTTTTTCATCCCATGGGAAGAAAGACATTCACTTCTGTGTAGTTTTCTCTTGGGTAAGTGTAATGTTTTTCTCCCTCCCTCTTCTTCCACCTCTTCACCTCCCTCCTCCTCTTCCTTTTCACCCTCTTCTTCTGTGCCACTGCTGGCCTTTTGCTTTGCTTCCTGTCAAAATCCATTCCCGTTTCATCAGTAATCACAGTCAAGTTTATTCTAAAGTAGTAGAGGCTATCAAATGAGAATTTCTTCAGAATTCAGAAAACAAGGTTTGAACTTTGGACTATGGCTCTGAACCCACTCTCTCAGCCTCAGAGAAAGACAAAGGCAAATCCCCTTTTAATAAACCTTGGCAAGAAAACCTTGGATAGGGTTGCCTTAGTCTGAAATGAGTTGAAGATTCACAACAGCAACAATCCTAATGATTGATGTGCTAAAAACCTATATACCGCCACAAGAAGCTTAGCCTATTTAATGTAGGTCCTTTACTACTGCCAAGTTGCACACTTATGGAATAAAGTATTTCCACAAGAGGATGTGAAAACCAAGGGTGCTACAGTCTGTAAATTCTAAGTTTCTATAAAAAAACATTTTACAAATTAATATTTAATCATATTAGATTTCTACCTTTCTAATGTCAACATTAATTCTTATGTATGTATTAGGGCTGGGCGGTTTCGTTTCGTAATTTCGTAATTAGTTAAAAATTCGTTATTTTTTTTGTTACGAAGCGATAATGAACCATTCAGGAGCATCTAAAAAACAAAACGAATTTCGTATTCATTTCGTATTCATTTCGAAATCATTTTGAAATCGTTTCGTTATTATTTCCGCATGTCTGGGGCAAGTTTTATAGCTGTTGTTTGTTTAATCAGTGAAAAAAAATTATAAATATCACACCAACAGTCAACAACAGAGGGAGAGGGAAGCTTCAGAAGTTCCCCCTGTCCCATATGGAGGTTTTTTTAGCGTATTGCGCGGTCGCGTCCGCCATTAACGAATCGATTCGTATTCGTTTCGTATTCGTTTCGTATTCGTTTCGTATTCGTTTCGTATTCGTTTTGTAATTTTACGAAATTTCGTAAATATCGAACTTTTTTAAAGAACATTTTTGGAATTCTTTTAAATATCGAAACACAAAAAACCCCAAAAAACGAATCGAGTTTAGAAACAAATTTTTCCGTGGTTGCCCAGCCCTAGTATGTATGTTTATTTATTTGTTCATTTGTTTAATTAATTTATATACAAAGGCAACTCTATAGCATGCTAGGACTTAAATTATGTTCAGTAATATCCTCAGTTTCATATAACCATGGTCTGGCCAAAAACATATCCCCCACAGATATTAATGCCTTACTATACACATCACTTCACATGCACTTCTACTAATTTATATCCCAAAGGTCTACCTAAATAAATAGTTATTCGCTTTCCAGTGGAAAAAGAGCAGGGTGGAGGCCAACCAGACTTTCCCCTTTCAAATGAACATTTGCAAATAAATTTAAACCTAATGGCAATTTCCAGTCTGCTTCTCTCACACCTTTCCACTCCCTTCACAGCTCCCATTTTAAGAAGGGCATCTGAGGAAGCAAGCTACAAGTGAAGATTTGAACATAATAACAAACCACAATGATAACCATGCAATAAACTAGCTGCCCAAAAAAGCCATGGTTTGTTGGTAGCTGTCAGATCACGTACAACAGTAAGCCAGAATTTCTCAAATTGCAACCTGGCAAAGTTGATTATTTATTTATTTATTTATGACATTTATATGCCACCCTTCTCACTCCGAAGGGGATTCAGAGCAGTTTACGAGTAATATACAATACAATAAATAAAATAAATTCAATATTTTCCTGGAGCTCTCTTTTTACTCTGGTCCCAGAGTAGCAGTTGGTGTTGGGGGGAGGGGCTCCCAACTGATGACACTAAAGACAAGATGTCACTGTCTTCTTGGCTCCTCTCTTTTTTAGTATAAAAAGATATGAGCCTTCAAACACACAACAAACATGTATTAGGTGATGTAGAAAAAATGGGTCTCTAAAACATGTTCTTCCATATTTTATCTGTGGAATGCTTTGCCAGCGGGAACACGAGCTCTCCGTGATTTACTTGCTTTTCGTAGAGCTTGTAAAACTTATTTATTTAGGGTGGCATTTGAATTTTGCTGATTGAAGTTCTTCTTGATTTTATATGTAATGTATCACATGTGTATATTGTAAATCGCTTCAAGCCTTCGGGGAGTGGCGGTATATAAAAGTGATTAATAAATAAATAAATAAATATTTTGAAGTGGTACCTCAACAGCCAACATCACATTAGGTTTATATTGATACCACAACACCTACGTCTGTGTTCTGAAACCCATTTCACAAGACATGTGATTTGTTCCTCACTCAGACTCAAATCCTAACGAAAAATATGGTGTTGGTTTTAAGTTTCTGCTTATTCCGAAAATTCTAAATTTCTGACCTTACGGGTTGAACTCAGCCACTTTGCCACAGTACCCACCCACTCCCAAAAATTGCCAACTCTAGTAATAAATAGTGTTGTCTAATTTTCTGGGTGTAAGAAGATGAACTCATTGAGGGTGTGAGGGAGGTATTTGTGCCCAATGAGAAATTTGCCCCTGGGGAGCCATATTTTACGGCTGCAGTTCCCAGAAGACAAGAATTATTTTGGCTGTGGTAATGTTGTCCCCACTATGCCAACTGGTGTAGGTGTTATGACTGTTATGACACTATAAGACATGGCCCTCAGACCATTTCTGTCATTGGACAGTTTCAGTTTTATATTCTCCTTTTCTCCCATTTTTGTAGTCTAAGAATTTGATGGTACAATTGTTGAGCGATCTTTACAAATTTTACATGTATAATATCCTTAGAAATCTTGAATGGGACAGGAGTCTTTAGATTTATGAAACTATGATATCTAAGAAAATGCATAAATTCACATAATGCTTTAATCTTATTTGGCTTATGGCAAGGGCAGGCATGTAGCCGGGGGGGGGGGGGGGGCTTAAGGGGCTTCACCCCCCCCCCCCCAAATTCTCATGGTGGTCCGTGAAAAGGCCTTACTGGTACATTATTTAAACTGTTATGTTTATTCATATCACGATCTGATCACCATGCTCAATATATCTCATATGCATGGGGGTATTGGGGTAACGATACAAAAGGTTTGCTAGGGTAGACCCTCTTTCACTCAGACTCAGCCCCCCCCCCCAAAAAAAATAAATCAAAATCCTGGCTACAGGCCTGGGAAAGGGTCCTCAAACTTTTAAAGTTGAGGGCCAGTTCATGGTCCCTCAGACTGTTGGAGAAAAAATGAACCATTTCCTATGCACATTGCACATACCTTGTATGTAGTGCAAAAAATGAAAGAACAATACAATATTTAAAATGAAGAATAATTTTAACCAACATACACATAACAGTATTCAACAGAAAGTGTGGGCCTGCTTTTGGCTGATGAGACAGTCAAGTTAATTAGGATTGTTGTTGTTTTGCCTTCAAGTCATTTCAGACTTAGGACAACCCTAAAGTTTAGGGCTGGGGCTGGGTAAATTACCTTAGAGGGTCGTATCCAGCCTGCAGCCCTTAGTTTGGGGACCCCTGGCTTAGAGTATTTGTGTAGAGAGGTGTGTTGTATGTGAAAGATAATGTATTATCTGGATTTTTTTTCTCAAATATATTTTAAGTGTCCAGCTGAACACAGGATTTTAACGTCAGGTCTTCTCCTTCCAACAGACATTGATGAATGTGAGAACAGGGATATTTGTCAGCATGAATGCAGGAACACCTTGGGAAGCTACCAGTGTTTCTGCCCACCAGGTTACCGAGTTATGCCCAATGGCAAAACATGTCAAGGTAAGAAAATGTGCATGGAGTATCAACATCTAACTCATAAAAGTGTTGGAACATAATTACATAAATGTGCTGCAGTGATGTCAAGATTATAAATACAAGTATAATAAATACATTGCAGCATTATTTAAATGGTGAACACTGTTCACACAAATGAATTCCATTGTGTGATAGAGTTACTTAGGATTATCTTCAGAGAGGCAGGCCTATGCCCACGAACATGTTTCCAGGGGAACAAATAATCGGGGAAATCCTTGGTTATATAGTGAACCAGCTGTTGAACAATGCATGTTATTCATCAGCTGTACAGGACATTTTTATTTCACTTCACTTTATTTCTTAATTAGTCGCTCTCCACCAATGTGCTCTGAGCGTCTTACAATTTAAAATAGCATTTACACAATATAAAAACATTCAACATAAAAACATTCAACAGTGACTATTTGGCAAACTAGATCTGATCACTTTTCTTAAATGCACAACCAAACAGTCAAGTCTTGAGCGCCTTTACAAAAGGATGCAACTCCGACATTGCTCTAATGTATGGAGGCAAAGAGTTCCACAGAATTGGAGCATAGGTCAAAAAAGCTCTATGCCTTGTAGCTTTCAGGTGTACCTCCCTAGGGCCCAGTATGTATAGGAGATTTTCTTGGGTGGATCGAGGTAACCACTGATGGAAAAAAAGGAATGAGGCGGTCCCTAAGATATAAAGGTCCTTGACCATTTTGAGCTCTAAATGTCAGGATCAGTATCTTGTAAGAGATCCGATGTTCTATTGGTAGCCAATGCAGTTGTTGCAGAATCGGTGTTATATGGGATCTTATAGATGATCTCGCTAGCAGCCTGGCTGCTGCATTTTGGACCATCCGAATTTTCTGGGTTGTTGACTTCGGAAGGCCGGTATATAAGGCATATAATAGTCCAACCTCGTGGTGACTGTTCCGTGGATTACTGTTGCCAATGCTTCTACTGAAAGGTAGGATGCCAATTTCCTTGCCTGGCGAAGATGAAAAAATTATTTACTGTATTTATATACTGCCTTTCTCACCCCTGGGGGCACTCAAGACAGTTTACAATATACTAGTAATGGCAAAGATTCAATGCCAACATACAGTAAAACAAAGAAATCATAATTAGTAATTGCTACATATAACTTAGAGTTACAATCTTTAAAACCATTAAATTTATTTATTTACTTTGCTTATATACCGCTGTATCTCAAGCCCGAAGGCGACTCACAGCGGTTCACAAACAGTAAAAACAGTAGAACAGCAGTGGTTCCATACAACATATAACAATTGACTTAACACATTATCCATAAATTACCAATAAGCAATTACAATGCACAATTATTACAAAAAAACAACTGTACCCAATCTTCTCATCATCCAAGTGTAGTCCAGGTTCGTCGTCCATTGTTCCATTCCTATGTTCCATTACCAGATTGCACTAAATTACTCAAACATAAGACATAGACAAAATTTAAACATTCAGACAAAGCATTAAAAACATCCTCGTATAAATATTAAAATTACATGATCCAAAAAATCATGCATCATAGCCACTCCAATCATCATTGCACATATTCCTTATTCTTTGTACTGCTTTATTTTACTGGCCAAAAGCTTGATACCACTACATGTGGGATCAAGGAAGAAATGGATATGAGGACTGTATATATAATGTATATATGTGTGGTTTGCATGTGTGTATATATATATATATGTCTATGTATGTGCATATGTATATGTGTGTTATGTATGTGTGTGTATATATGTGCTTGTGTGTGTGTATATATGAGTGCATATGTGTTTGTGTAGATATGTGCATGTGTGTGTTGTTTATATATGTGTGTAGGCCTGGGCTTACTTGGGCCCTCCAGACATTTTGGACTTCAGTTCCTACAATTCCTAACAGCCAGAACAGCATGGCTGTTAGGAATTGTGGGAGTTGAAGTCCAAAATTGTGGGAGTTGAAGTCCAAAATGTTTTACTGAACCCTGTGTCTCTTTGGCAGTCCTGTGTAGGCTCCTCCTGGCGTGGCTCCTCCTCCCTCCCTTCCCTTTCCCTCTCGCTTTCTTGCCTGACCGATGGAAAAGGCTTTGTTGCTTCTTGGCTTCTTCTATCCCTCCATCTGTCCTTCTCCCTCTCTCCCTCCCTCCCCCTCCTCTCTCTCTCTCTCTCTCAGAAGGCTCTCAAGGCTGGTTTTCAGAGCAGCTTGGCTGGGCTGTTCCTTCTGGGTTTGACTCCCGAAGCAGGGAGAGGGAGCTGCTTTGCTACGGATAGGCGGGGCTAGGTTTTGCACATGCGTGGTAAGGTATTTTGTATTTTTTTAAGAATTGTAAAGCTGTTTTCACAGTTTTTTTTGGGTTTTTTTAATTATTGGTCATACCTTGCGGTATGAGAAGTTTGGAGGCCAAATTTGATGTCAGTTGGCCCCACAGTTTGTTTGTTTTTAGGCCACTAACGACGACCATTAGGTTTTTATATATATAGATTACATAAAGTGTTTAGCCTACAATATGCAGTAGAACATTTCTGGAGGCTACTAGCTTAGAAAAGGAAGCTATAACATTGTCCTTTGTTCCTGAGTGCTTACATTGGATGTAAGCACTCAGTGCTTACCATCAGGACAAATAGGAGACCATATTACAAGATATAGCAGAAATGTGGCTTTTAAATCTTACTACTCATCATTTGCAAAGGTTTGTGACTTTTTAAAAATATTATTATATGAAAATAATTAATTGCTTATCTGATTATGTGGTTCCTTTTACTTTGAATCAGATATAGATGAATGCCTTGAACAAAACATCTTCTGTGGACCAAATCATATGTGTTTTAACATGAGAGGAAGCTATCTGTGTATTGATACACCTTGTCCTCCAACTTATCAGCGGGATCCTCTTTCTGGGTATGTTTTTCCCAAACTCCTTTTTGTTTTTACATCTTGCTTTTTCAGCCTTTCAAACACGGTCACAAAATGCAAGACATTAGTCCATTCCTATACTTTAAAACAGATAATTACTTCTTCCTTCCTAGCTTTTTTCTAAAACAAATTGGTTCAAATTATGCACTGCTGAACTACTCCAATGCTAGCACCACCAATTTTAATGCTAATCTTCAAAGACTAACTTGAACCTTGACTAACTTGACTGGTTTCTATACTTTCCAGGCACAATTCAAAAGACCCATATTTGGGGCATGGGAATTGTAGAATTCAAATCCTGATGAGAGCATTCCAGTGTTAGGAACTGGAATATTCCAGATCCAGGCTGAAGGTCAGGAGTGGGTTGAAAGAGGTTACAAGGGTCCTTTAGATCCACAACCTCTCTCTGCATTACTGATGTATTCCCTGTCCGTTGAGTTTTGAGGTAGACTTTCTCTCCAAGGGTTGATCTCTTGGTCTTTGGCCAAAGACCCAAGACATAATATGGCACCTGGGATACTCTCACAGGGTCTATAGCAGGCATATAAAACTTTGGCCTTCCAGGTGTTTTTGACTTCAACTCCCACAATTCCTATCAGCTGGTAGGCTGGATAGGATTTCTGGAAGTTGAAGTCCAAAACACCTGGAAGGCCAAAGTTTGGTCATGACTGGTCTATAGGATTACATTGTTAGTAGCATGGATAATTCCTTTGAATGGCAGCAACAGCTAAATGAATTTTTAATAAGACTTGTCAGCACTCAACATTATCATCTAAATTCTACTTCCAAATCCTGTGTTCTTGCTATGATTAATATAATTCATGACTCTTACCTGCAAGTAAGCTTTGTAGTGCCTGATGCTCCATTGTGTTAAGCTCTCAATGTGAATTTAGCAATTTAAAAAGTCCTTGACTCGGAAATCATTGTTAGATCCAATGGCTTGAAGTATGCAAATTCATATAAAATTTACGATGGCTTTACTACATCGGAGTCCCGGTAGCACAGTGAGTTAAACCACTGAGCTGCTGAACTTGCTGACTGAAAAGTCACAAGTTCAAATCCGGGGAGTGGAGTGAGCTCCTGCTGTTAGCCCCAGCCAACCTAGCAGTTTGAAAACATGCAAATGTGAGTAGATAATGCCACAGGGCTTATCTACTGTGTGTTTTGTTTTGTTTTAGATTCTGCCTGAAGAACTGCCCACCCAATGACTTGGAGTGTTCTTTGAGCCCTTATGCCTTGGAATACAAACTTGTATCCCTCCCTTTTGGAATTGCTGCCAATCAAGATTTAATTCGACTAATTGCCTACACTGAAGATGGAGTGATGCATCCAAGGACAACTTTCCTCATGGTAAATGAGGATTCAACGATCCCTTTTGCCCTCCGAGAAGAGAATTTGAAAGGAGTGGTGTACACAACCAGGGCTCTACAAGAGCCGGAAACCTACAGGATGAGAGTCAGGGCTTTGTCTTATAGTGCCAATGGAGCTCTTGAATATCAGACAACCTTCATAGTCTACATAGCTGTATCTGCCTATCCATACTAGGAAAAACATTGCCAAGAGTAATTGAAGTATGTTAACCACATGCATTACGTGTGCTGCTGGCTGTCAACACTTCCAGAACGACTGTTGCCTCATTTTAAAACAGTTGCAAACCTTGCAGCTTGAGGGAAATGGTGCTATGCTCTATCCTTACTTCTTCTCTCCGGCTGTCAAACTGTTGTAATCATTCCATCTTGACAAAAATGACCATAATCCATGATTCCGTTTGAATCTTAACTACTTGCTTTATTTATTGCACTGGAGCAGTCACTTTCCAAAGATTGTTCTGCTGACTCTTTGTAACTAGTTAGAAGTACTAATTAGGTAGTCATGAGGGGCAAAAACGGTAGGCAAAAATTGTTGTCATACTCCAACAGAGCAAGGTATATATCTCACATAATTGTAAAAAATGTTTTTAACGACATAACTTTCTTACTGTAGTTACCGGTAGTTACACAGTTGTCTTTTCTGGACACAATGACTGCCAGCTTCTTAACATTCACAAACAAAACATTGAGACACCAGTCACATCTTGATGGGTAATAGGTAACTTTTAAAAACTTCAAGGAGGAGGATATCAATTGGGAATACTACTTTTGTATTAATAATATTTAAAATAGAATCCACAGTGGTCTGTACATTCAACTTTATTCTTCAAGGGATGCCAGCAAGTTTAGATTAGAAGGAATTTTGCCTACTCAAGTTTTGAATTGGCTGCAAGGAAGACAGAAAGAATACAAGAGGTCTAGCAAGTTTGATCAAGCAATGTGTTAGGTGTCAATACACTGTATAAAGTGGTAACAAACTCTGGAAGTAAATTGTCAAGATGTATTCATTTTTTAAATGAAAGTCTGTATGTATATATAATGTTTTGTTTGCTTATGTTTATTTTCTATGCAATATCAAGGGGGGGGGGGTCCCCCAAAAATGGAAAAGTGTTTTACCAAAGAGTGTTGTTTACATATTGGAAATTGCCAAAATAAATGTTCACATTCTTCTTTTTTATTAGATATGGAAAGATTGTTATGGTTTATTATTCAATGTTTCCTTATTCTGTTTAACCATCTGGATTAGTTTATTGTTCAAAGCTGTAGCTAGTTTACTATAGTTACAGCTTCCCTACCATATTGTGATGGAAGTAGTAATAATAATAATAATAATAATAGTAATAATAGTAATAATAATCTTTATTTATACCCCGCCACCATCTCTCCCAACGGGGACCCGAAGCGGCTTACATGGGGCCAAGCCTGAACAACAAATTATAGTACAAAAATACAAATTGCAGTAAAATAAACAACATAACAATAAAGTATAAAACATCAAAGCATATAAACAATATAAACAAAACATAGAAACCAAACATAATGACAGAGAGCGGGCCGCATGTACATAAAATGATTTAAAAACTCAGGGTGAGATAAAGGAGCAGAACTGTTTGTAAGGGAGAACTCATAGAGAGACAGAGAAATAAACAAACCTTTGTACAAAGGAGGGGGGAATCCTGGGACAAGAACATTGAGGGAGCAATAGCATAAAATGATGTGACTACTCTCCGTAGTACAAGTAGGGAGGAAATACTGAATATATAGAAATAAGGAATAATAGAGTTGGAAGAGACCACATGGACCACCTAGGCCAACCCCCTCCCATGCAGGAAAGCACAATCAAAGAATGTCCGACTCCATGCAAATTCCCTACTAATTCCCAGCCTTGTGACCTATTCATTAAATGTAACGATGTCTAGCCTAGAGTCAACAAACTGGCACAGAAATGTAGTAACGAAAATGAACAGGACTATAAAAGACTCACATATCATTAGAATGACATGTCAACGACATCAACAGAAGCTTGTCTACTTCAGTAACTGATTACCTGCCCACCATTTGCAGTTCTGTTGTAAGTTGCTTTAGGGCAACTAGTCTCTTGCTTTGTATAACATGGAGAAACAAGAAGAAAGGACATCTAAGGGCCCTCCCAGACAGGCCCTATATTCCAGGATCTGATCACAGGTTTTTTGTTTATCTCAGATTATCTGGCAGTGTGGACTCATATAATTCAGTTTAAAGCAGAAAACCTAGGCTCAGATCCTAGGATATATGGACTGTGTGGAAGGGCCCTAAGAGGCTTTAAATGGTAGTTTATTCACCCTTTACAGGGTCGAGCTAAGAATAATGACATTTTTAACTAGTAAAGTAATGTATTGCAACCCTGACTTTGTCACAGCAAGTTTTCTTGATATCTGTTTTTTATGTTTGAACCTATCTCTACTTGTTATCGAGCAATTTAGAATAGCAGTGGATAGTGAGATACAAACCACTGTGGGTTTAGCCTGGTGAGAAAAAGAAGCCAATATTCCAGAATAAATCTCACCAAGTTGAAGCAGAAGTCACCGAGGTATTTGTTTAATTTCAGCTGAAAGTGATGCCAGCCTGCAGTAATCCACCCCCCCAAATAGGCTGCTATAAAGCCTGTCTGGGCAGGGAGGCCAAACAATCCCACCGCTGCCACCAAATAATAAAGGCACGTCGTGTGGCCAAACAATAACTGGACAGGGGATAAAGCAAATCCCACCAACTGTCCCTCCAATATAAAGAAGTCACACCACGGGCACCTATATAAATGTTATGAGGGAATGTCTCTCTATTTAACTTGCGCTGCCACCATAACTGAAAACGTCCAGGAACACTCTAGCTGCTCAAAATATTAAAAAGGGCTTTTATTACCACCAAGTACTGTGTTTTATTTTCTTATTTAAAGGGAAACAGGTGAGGTTGAAAAGGAAAAGGGACTAAATCCACAAATGTACACTTGACTCAGGCTTTTAAGTTTCAAAATAATCAAGAAAAGTTTATTGATGAGAATACAGAGAAGTGAATGCTGTTCAATAAGCTTGGCTGTTACAGAGAAAATGTTCTTGTCTTTAAAGCGTAATGGTTACAAGTAAATGGTTCTTTCTTTGTTACTACTACAGAGAGTTTCTTCTTTAAAACAAAACCAAGTATACTTGACAGGAGCTGAATCTCTGCCAAGATACAACTGTAGCTTAGCTACCCTCAACTGTGGCCTAGCTAACTACAAAACCCAGCTATTTCTTCCCTAAATAGCTGTACCCAGTTTGCTACAGCTTACTTCGCTGGCAAACTTCAGGCAAACTGCCTATTCTTAACACGAACTCCTAAAAACTTCTGTAATCCTGCTCTAAACTCTAACATCAACAGACTGCCTGAAAAAGCCTCTTTCTTTCCCTCCAAACAGTCTAACTCCGCCCCCCTTTAATAAACCAATCCTGGCTGTTCTAAGGCTGGCTCAGGCCTAGGCCACTCCCCCTCTCTGAAATGGTGCTTTCCCTAAACTAAAATGGCTCCTGCTGCCCTCTGCCAGGCCCTCCAAAGCTGCAACTAACTGGCCTGTCTCTCCTAGGCCCTGCCACCCAGGCTGGAAAGGTAAGGGATCTTTACAGCTGCCATACATAACACAGTAAAACATGCACTCATATACATTTTTTCCTTTGAATTTCCTGCACCCACCTCCCTGAACTGGCTTCGCTGTGATTGGTCAGGGGACTCTCTGACATCAGTGGGCTGGGAGGAGCAGCCGGGGGCTGGTGCATTTCAGTCAATGAGAGCACAAGCCCCGCTTCTGACATCACCTCCCTCCCAACCAATAGAAACAGCGGAGGTGCGCCAATGGTACAACAAAGAGAAATATTTGTCTAATGGTTGGATTATGACTGGCCTTTCCTGGCCCATTGATAGGCGATTGATAGCTGAAGAGCCCTCAAGCCGAATCTGGCTATTGACATGAAGGTTTGAAACAACATTTTTGTCTGGCAAGTCAGAGCCAGCCCATTGTCCAGAGATACAGCAATATTGATATCTTGATGTGGATCTGGTGATCCAGTTTACTGGGAAGGGGAATGTCATTGTTTGGGAAGCTGTGACATCCCCTTCTCCTTGAAGAGGGGAAATGTCATTTGTGAAGAATGATTTAGCATGTCCAAAGGTCTCAAATCCTCAAGTGGTCTGGTCCTTGACCCTCTGAGGCTTGAGGAGAGGGGCCATTCACTTATTGTCCATATTCTGAAATGCTTGAACGTGCATCCAACAAAATGAAGACCCAGGGTGACTTGTGACACACGGGTCAGGAAATGCTGGCCAGAGTTCATAAAAAGGTCACCTTGCTTCATGTTTTATACAGACATACATATAAATAATATATACACTTATAGATAGGTGCACATCAAGATCCACAGGAGTCAGGGGGACCCGTACCACATGGAGGCCTTCTCCTAAGGAGATATGGGGAGCACATACAGAGTGGGCTCAAGTAACAATCTGGGGACCCGTAGTCGTGGGAGTCAAGCTGTCCTTAAGGGGCTTTTGGGGTCCATACGTCTTCCAAGGGGCTCCTAAGTGATCTTATGGGGAAGGAAAATAAGGAAATAGTAAGGAAAACCTGGGAAGGGAGACACGCAGGCCTGTAGCGAGGGAGTGGTTTTAGGGGTTCAACCCCCCCCCGAAATGTTTCAGATTTTTTAAAAAAACCTGGTTTATTCATGAATTTTAACTGGTTAACCAAATTCCCATGCTTAGTCTATGAGATGCAAAAAATTAAGAGTCCCTCCAGAACTGCAAGCACTATCTCAAGCAAATATTGACTATTTATTCACACTGTCATTACTTGTAGCAATAGCTGATGTAGTGAAGCAACCAAGTTGGGTGTGTGTGTGTTGAATACTCTCATTAAGGAGGCCAGACTTGGTGGAGGTGGTTGACAGGGGTGGAGCTGCAGGCTATTGAAGGCTGCTCAGCCCCCTGCTGTGCTCTTTGCTTCAGCATGAGCTAGGAGGCAGGTTTCAACCCCCCCCCTTGAAATTTTCAACTCTCCCCAAAATTTTCAAAAACCCCCCCCCAGAAATTTTCAACCCTCCCCCCCCCACAATTTTCAACCCCCCCCCCCCCGCCAAAATTGTCAACCCTCCCTGAAATTTTTTTCTGGCTACGGCCCTGGAGACACGCAAATAATGGTCCCAAGGGGGGGGATTGGTGGGTCTGTGAGGGCCCAGCCTAGGGTAAAACAGCACTGTCGGGGCCAGGATTATGGGGAGAGATAGGGGATTATGGAATGGTAGTTATAGAATGGGAGAGAGAGTGGAAAGGAATGGTAAAGACACAAAGGAAACAAAACAGGACTTGAGATGTGAAAAGACTATATGTGTGAGTCAAAGATTATACAGAAAAGCAAAAATGGGCAGGAAAGATGGGATTTCAGAAATAAGGGCAATGTTATAAAATACTGTTTACTGGCATTTCCCCTTTTGCTAGCCTTGGACAAAAGGCCTTGGAATCCCTTTGTTTGAGAGTTATTGACTGGTGTAGGAAATCGCTAACAATAGTTAGTTCTTGCCTCAGGCGAGGCTCAGGTTAGGCCCAAGCAAAAAGGTGACAAGGTTTTGTGACAAGGTTTTCAGTAAATTACAGTAAACTCCAGTAAATATCTCAGTTACCTTCTGCTGTAAATATATGAAATATAGGACATTATTGGGGGGGAGGGGTCTCCTTCGACTACATACTGACAACTGCCACGGTTTTTAATGAGCATATTGCAGGGAAAGGTGTTTCAGAGCATTTGCTTAGCC